GTGGTTGAGACACAGGGTGCTTCTCAAGTCTCTTATTTGTCGTTTCCTCGCTTGAACTGTAAGTTGTTCCACTCCGCCATCTTGCAGACCACCCCAAAGCTCTTATTTGTGCACGAAGGATCAAGGAGCGATCTCTGAGGAGCTATGAGTGAGGATACACCAGTGCTTCCTTCACGGAAGTCTTTTACTTAATGACCGACACGCCCCCCCCCCACGCCGTTGCAGCTGATCGGACTGATCTGATACATCAGGACAGATAACATTATATTCAAGTGAATCACCGCAAAGTCTTAGGCTATATTTGATTTTTTTTTATGATTCACTGTCTTTTTAAAATCTGAGTTCATTGTAGGTCTGAACAACAAAAGCCCCACACACAACTTTCTTCTTTTATTAGAAAGATCTTTCTTTATTTTATTTCTCCCATCAACTTTTATAATGCAGACAATTAAAGTCAGAGAGAGTCGGAGAGTCTGTCTACAAGAAACATGTTACATAATTTATCATCATTTCTATTCAGTCACATGTGAGGCTGGTCATTCCAGTGTTTAGTCCAAACACACAACAATAAAACATAGTAAACACGTAGCCTACGGAGTCGGACAAGTCACTAAACTGCACTAAAGTCTCCAATGAAGCAAGCAAAGGAAAATAAAAGCAGCACATCCAGCCATCTCACCTACTGCATCTGATGAAAGCAGCCAGCAGCTCCGCGAGTAACATCAGCAGATGAAAGCATGAATGAAAACCACTACTAAAAAAGCTGTTGGATTGATATGCTGGAAGGCAGTGATCGATCAGTTACAAGTGATATGATTTGCAAATAAAATGTATGCAGTAGTGTTAAAGGATATCAGAAGACACCATTTAAATTTCCCTGAAACATTTAGGCTAATAAATCCCAAGACAACATGATCATAATCTGGGTTATTCAATAACAAATTCACTATCAGAATTAATAAATGCAGATAAGAGGCCTATAAACATTTTGCCAGTAGAAATGCTCCTGTGCTTCTGAGCAGGACATACAGTAACCTATAATTATTCATGTGCAGGTGTTTATTAAACAGGTAACAGCTACAGAGAGAATCATGCTACTCTGCACAGATAACTGTGAGACATTAGTAGTACCAACACGGTGCACATGTGTGCAAACACAAACTCCTTCAAAAGCCTGTACAGCTATTAAAGCCGACTGACAGCTGATCCAGCTGTGATCAGCTGCCGCCGTCATCAGAAACTGACGTCGCTTCACATGACGCTTCGGTGGAAAGGATGTCTCATTTCTTTAAAAACATATTTCCTCATTCCTTCTCTCCTGGCTTTGACATATGAGGGAAACGTGGATACAATTAAGAGACTTGAGAAGCAGTCTTTTGACCACTATTTGAGCAATTTTAGTGGCATGAATGAATTTTAAATGGAATGGAAGTTCATTTAGAAACATTTTTGGCTGCGTTAAATAAATTAATCAGATTTTTGAAGTGACAAGAAGTTCTTGACACTGAGTTGGAACAACTTATTCAGTGCTTTACATGTTGAAAATCCAACACAGCTACTGCACTGAAAAACATAATGATGGGGCAATGCTAATATAAGCCTGATCACTTTGACATGCACCAGCCTGCAATAACATTTTGCAGCTGAAACTTTTCCTTTTAGCCTGGATTATGTGTTTAACGTCTTCGTCTGTAAAATATTCCACTCTGCTGCCTGTCTGCTTAGCTAATTGCAGTTGTTAGAGTGAGTGAAGCTGGAATATTAAAGATATCCTGGGTATGTTGAACTTGCTTTGTAGTACAGGCCCCAGATCCTCTGATATCAAAGGCTCAGACCCCTCTAGTCTTAAATGTAGACACAGAAACAGCCAGCAGGTTCTTTGTCTAAGGTCCTCAGGCTGCTTGCAAGATGTAGAGCCATCAACAGCCTTAAAGGTAATAATTCCATGTAGAGCATTGTTATGCCTTAAAACATGTCTGGATGCGATCTGTTTAATGCTGCTTTGAAAGTCATGCATTAGTAACACTATACTTACAAACCCAGAGGCAGAATGTTACTAAGTACAGTCCTGTAGCCTACTTAAGAACAATTTTCAGGTATTTTCATTGTATGTACTTCTACTTCATCAACATTATGTTTATCTGACATTATGTTTTTCAGATTTAGGATTTCACAAGCAAAACACAAAAGGAGCCTCTAAAATATGATGTAGGTCTTTAGTGTGTAAAATACCTACAATTGGCTATACTGACAAATCACAACATTACTGTAAGTAATAACATCCAATAATACAATGTAAGGGAGCATGGGGATGGTTGTAACATCTCAAAGCTCTTTAAAGCCAGTGTGTTCAAAATGTGATATAAACTAGTTACATGTGTCTGCTATTAAATGGTGTAACTGTTATCTCTGCAACACAGACTCAAACACAAGGATGTTCAGTTAACCCCATAGTCTGGGTTAGTTGTAATATACACCGGGTTGAAATGTAAAATTATGTAATAAGTAGGGATGTGACAAGACACTTGGCTCAAAAGACAAGACATTGGGTTCACAAGAATGAGAAGAGACCAGACGAGATTTAACACTATTTTTAGGAAATATTCAACTTCCGAATTATATGAAAATCTTCATTTCCTGCATCCTGGTGATTTCTTTTGCACAAATTTCTGCCTTTTCTGCATCACTTTATGGTGGAAATGTTTTATTATGGCACGCGATCTCATCACACCCCAAGTAATAAGGAATATGATAAAAAAAACATGATATTGAAAGCTTTTTATTCAACACTTAAATATTTGTTTCAGCATAATTGGTGTGTGTGAGTTAGTGTGTGTGTGTGTGTGTGTGTGTGTGTGTGTGTAGGGGTGATCCAAGTATCTCAGTTACTGTTATTGTAGTGACACAGTAGTGAACATAATAATACAATTTAACAAAATGTTCAAATGTGCAACAACTGAATATGTGTGTGTTTGTGCTTGTTTGTCTTACACCGTCACTGTGGTGACAGACAAACTCCAGGCAGTGTAGGTTTTACACTAACATTTAAACATAATAATAAAACAATTAAACTTTGCATCAGGGTTCAGCAACCTTTTCTGAGTGTCAACATACAAAGATGAAGACATCCAATGTGCCAGCAGCATTTGTTAATGCACATGTCATTTATTTTCAATTTATGCACAGATTTTAATTGAAGTTTGACCCTAACAATAATAATAGACATATAATAAATAGGGCTGTCAAGCGATTTAAAAAAAAATCATCTAATTAATTACAGGTTTTGTAACTTGTTTGTAGTTTTGTAATGAATGAATCGAAATGAATCACATTTATCGATATTTGCTGTGATAAGCATTTAAAATATTCTAATTCAAATAGATTTTGGTAGATGAGTGCATCGATGATAATAAACAAATTTAATAGTGATGGCGCAATGGATAAGATGCATGTCTTTGATGTGAGAGACCCGGGTTCAATCCGTCACTGTGACCCATCCACCAATGTGTCCCTTAGCAAGACACTTAACCCCTAGTTGCTCCAGAGGCGTCTGACCTCTGACATATTTAGCAATTGTAAGTCGCTTTGGATAAAAGCGTCAGCTAAATATGTAAATGTAAAATTTAGCTAAACAACTTTTTTTCCCCATACATTCATAACGTTTTTTCACTGTTCATATGCAATAACAATGCCACATTTTTTTTTTGTAAAAATACAAATAGTGTTTTTGTGTTATTGAAGATCTTCAAGAAACTTAAGGATGACGCCGACCTCCTCAGTTTGTGTAAGCAAGTCACCACTGTACTGGACAAGACCAGGTCAAGCCTGGTTAAAACTTAAGTCACAGTATACTGTTAACTACGAACATGTCATGTGTACAGTCAGTCAGAAGGCTAAAATAGTAAATGCCTCTTCTGCCAACACTGTTTCTTCTAAATTCAAAGTTTTCGCCATATTTAGCGTCTCTGTTGCACTTGTCACACAAACCAGATGGAAAGTAAACTCCTTTGATCGGCGCCTTTGAGATTAGATTACAGCAAAAAACAAGGATCAGTCCAAGTTGGGAGGGGCCGCTCGTATCCCCCCTCACCCAGCCGGGTCGCGAATCATAAAGTTGCCAATTATGATTAATCCTGCGTTAAAATATAAAGCGTTAATTTTCCTATATTTCTATTATTTTGACAACCCTAACAATAATGTCAAAATTAATTCATCATGGTGGTTGATTATCTGTTTTTTCACTAACTTAATGTAATATTAAACAATGCAGCGGCATTTGTCAATATTGTAGGACTGAGTTTGCTTTCTCACATGCCAATAATATTACGCTCTAAAAGCAGTGCTTTTTGATACTTTTCAGTTATAATTTTGCTGATAATATTTAAATTCAGAACTTGTAAGGAAGTACTGTTACACGGTTGTACAGATCCTTTACTTTTACTAAAGTAAATCTGATTATTTCTTCCACGAATGAACTAATACTGTAGGCCTTTATAACATAATAATACTGTAAAAGTGGCATTCTGCATAATAAACAGGTCTATGTTAACAGTTGAAATTTTAAGTAGGCCTACATTTTGCAGTAATGTAGGATACTTCTGTGTCAGTAAAATGTTTAATAATAGCTTTGCGCTGGGACACTGACTCACCACAAACAGCTAGATTGTTGTTTTGCAGCGACTCTAGTGCTTACATGAACAGGAGGCGCTAGTCGCACCAGATGACGCCGTCTGCACCAAATGAAAGTGAAACTAAAATAGAGACACAGTACTGGTTTTGTGTTTTGTTTTAACCCAATAATCATTTTGGTGCACGGTTCACCGACAGCAGCTGAAATATCTCACCACGCTGACACACCTCCGGTCATTCCACACTATTTCTGTCCTGCCTGTGGGAACTTTGCGAACTTTCTTTCTTCCTAAATGGAAAACACCACTTGTAATCCTAATCCAACACGAGGTGTTACACCTCTGCCATCCACACACACAAAGTCAGCTTACCGCTCTTTTCTCTCCGTAACATGTGGGCTGGACGAGTATCACCGGGATCACCTTCATGAAGTCTGTCATCTGCGCAGCGGCAACAGTTCCTCTCCTACCCAGCGGAGCAACAGGCGAAGATCACATTTTTGCATTTCACTTGTAATAAAATTATTTTGTCTCACTGATTTGGGTCCAGCAATAATATTAAAGACGACGATTGTTACTGCGGTCCAAATGTTGCTCTTAGACCGACTTACACACGCCCTGATATCGTCATGTTGAGGTCAAATTCACTCCTCCTCTGATTCGTCACTTTGCTACAAACCGAATACGTTGTTTCACATTTGTGCGTGTCGGGGCAGCATTTGAAGTTTTTTTATTATTATTGCAAATTCATAGGAGTGAGTCATCCAAGCCAATCAAAATATGATTTTAATATTTATTTGGCATATTTAACAATCATGTCTCATCAAATGGAGCAGAAAAAACGAGCAGAGCAAATGTCAAGTTGACTGAACAACCTTTGTGTTGCAGGGTAAACAACCAATTTACTATAAATTGCAGATCAAGTCCTCAGCAGAACAGTTATTACACAGTAAAGACATCACAATAAAAAAAATATATTTCAGACTGTAACCAGGGCTGAATAATCGTCTGGAGCTGCAGACATTAAATCAAGTCAATTTTATTTGCATAGCACACCTCACACAGGTAAACTCAGTGTGCTTTACAGTAAGACATGGGAAGGATTAAACAAATTTGACAAAAAACACAGGCCAAAAAGGACCCAAATTCATTATGAGGCAGCATGTAGTGATTTCATGAACTGCGAGTGGGTTAGAGAATATACACCACAGAAGTCCAGTGAGAACAAAAATTACAGGGAAAGACTGAGTTGCACACAGATTTTTATACATACGTAGTTCACTGTGACTGCCAAGATGCACATCTGTAAGAATCATCTTATCGCTGACTGTAAAACTCTGTTATGTGTTCCTAACGACAAACCAGCAAAACACACAAGATTAAAGGAAACTTTGAAATGAGAATTGACTGCTTCCACTTTGCACATTTACCTGTCTTGTGGTGGGGGGTCCTGTTTTTACATTTTCCTAATTAAAATTGTGTCAAAACAAAAATGAGTCAAAAGGGGCTTACAGAAATATTTTAACCAAAACTTGCCTATTATTTGAACTTATGATTTTATTCTTCTAGTTCTTGTACAGCTGCTTGTGTAGGTTTTATAGAAAAACATTTATAGTCCTCAGAGTGAGGTATTAGAAGCAGTATCGTACAGAAAGAAAATTTGCACTAGTATCAACACCCAGCCCTGGTTATACCAGACAGACAGAGACAGATAGATAGATAGATAGATTTTCTGTGTAGGTCTCTATTCATTCCTGACTTGTAACAACTGAACATCTGCAGAGGATCATCTGGCTCTATGGGACTGTGCTCTCCGCCTGTACAGCCTTCTTCCGTCTCTGTCTTAGGTGGTCCCGTCCAGTTTAAGACCCGCCATGGAAGCAGCAGCCTTTTCCTCTTCACCTTCTTCTTCTTCTTTCCTCCTCCTCCTCCTCCTCCTCCTCCTCCTCCTCCTCGGCTTCATCTTCCTCATCTTCATCTTCCTCATCCTCATCATCGTTGTCCTGTTGCTCTCTGCTTCCAGAAGCTAAGTTCTTCCAGTAGGAATCGTATCCTGATGCTCCGTCGTCGTAATAATCGTCATCGTCGTCAGCACCAGCCTGGCGGCCAAACTTCAACGTGCGAGCTGCAGAGAACACAGACATTTCATTTACAGGGGCGGTGAAGTGACAGAAATAGACAGGTGACATTGAGTTTCTACAAATTTTAGAAAACCATGTCCATGTATTACAGCTTAACTGTAGTACAGTATAGTCTGTGCCTTTGTATTACCAAACCTGTTGAGTACCAAAGATAAGTACCTGTTTTGCTAACAAATGCTTAACTGTGTTTTGAACTGTAAAACAAGCAACAATAAATGGATTAAATGGATTAAAGGGTATATATTACTGATCTGGATGGTGAGACTTATGGTACACTAAACATGTAAATCACTGCTGACAGAATGCAGCAGCTCCTTGTAGAATTTTCTTGTTTTGGAAAAAAAAATTAAATTAAATTCTGGTAGTGTACACACTAGATTATGAAAATGAATGTATGGTGAGAAACTACAGATATCAGAATCCTGAGTAGATTTTTTAACAAAGCTCTACAAGACAGAACCGAGCTTTTTATCTCACTCCCCAATGGATAAAGTCCAAAGAGATAAAGGACAAACAGCAGTGGTGCATTTAAGAAATTATCACTGCTTTGTCACATTAAAAGATGAACCTTCAATCTCACTAAATCAATATCACAATAAATTGCAAGTGAAAGCTGAATAAAAGATGAACAGCACCCAATGCCAACAACTTTCTAGAAAATTTCCCTGTCTTCACACTTTTTGTTTCATTTGTCAAAGCAGTTGCAGCTTCCTCCAAACTGCAGCTTTACGGGAAACAACTTTCAGTAGTTTTATATCACACTCACTGGACATGCTGAGGTCTTTTGTCTCTTGGGTCTCGTGACCACACTTGGGACAGGGTGGAGCTTTTCCTTTCTCCTGTTTGAAGACCTTACTCTTGGCGTGGTCATCACAGTAACAGGCCTAAGAGGACGCAGTTGGATTAACGTGAAAATCAACACATGGGAATGCACACACACAATCTACTATCAACTAATTCTGGTTTGAAATATGAGCATGAAATACAATGACTCTTCAGGCTTGTTTAGACAAGTAAGATCATTCATCATTATTGTTTTGCCACCACATCTTTTTCTCTTGCCTCAAGTATAAAGCTTTTCACCTACTCTGTTAAGAAGTTAATAGCTGTTTTTTCCTCTTCCTGTAAAGTTTGATAAAGCCATTCTGACATTTCCTATTTCCATTTTATGCTATGTTAGGACTCAGTAAATAATTCTGATGGGTCCTCAATGATCTACATGGCTTTAGAGGAAACACTTTGATTTGTTTCAAATCTCTCAATACAACACTCCTAACATGAGTCCATAGTTAAAGACGAGGGACAAAATCCACAGTCCTCATTTAGTAGTCCTCACTTGTGCACTTTACAGATAAAGCTGCAATGTGATAACTTTGCCTGTAGGTAAACCTTAAATGCAAGTGACATAACCAACTTGTTTGAGCACTTGAGAGACCATGTAGTCTGATGTAAGTGCACACTGCTCTCGCCCAGTGACAGATGGAAATAAAGGATAAATTATCTTGTGGCAGCAGCTTTGGCCTATTTTAGGAAGTTCAGTTTTATCTGTTTGGAGTGCTCTATTGCTGCTGAAAGCTTTATACTGTTTTAGGGTAAACTATAAAAAGGGTAAGCAAATGAGAAGGAGATTTCTAATTGACTACGTCTTAAAGCTCGTGCTGACTACACGACTTTCAGCATCGGCCCAAACACATTTGAAACGGGAAATGACACAAACCTACACACAAAACAGCTGCTGTTTATTATTATAAAGATAGCAATTATGAAGACAGAATATGGGTGAAAGAATGGATTAGCACACAGAGGTAGCAGGGATTGTCTGAGCTACAGAGAAAGCTGGAGGTGAGTAAAAAGTGTTTTGCAGTGAAAGAGTAGCTGCCTGCTCTGCCAGCTGCCTTTTCTCATTGACTGGATGTGGATGTTTTGTTTGTTTTGTTATGCCAGCCAATAATATAGAGGAAGTGTTACATAAATATGCTTAGCGGAGTCTAATGAGCCGATAAACACATTTTTAAAAACAATGGACACAGCTCCCTCAACTGTGCTTTCTGAAGTAGGCACAGATGTTCCCCTTACCTTACAACGTAGGCAGGAGTGCTGTCCCAGTCTATTACAAGAAACACCTAAAATTGAATGTGGGAAAAGGCAAAACAAATTACCCTCCCTTTTATGCACACATACCTTCCAGATATTATTCTCTGTAGTGGAGAAGATACAAGTTACTATTAACCACAAAAATGCTATTGTGAAAAAGAAATCTACATGGCTCACATTTGTATGTTTCTGCCTGAAGGACTTGGCAGCTTGCCTGGTGTTCAAACTGATCATCCTCACATAGGAAGTTATGACAAAATGAACAGCGGAAGATTCGCCCTCCTAAGTAGGAAGTTAAAACAGTCAGTGGTGATCTTTAGTGAGACACTGATGTGATTGGGTGCATTTCAGACAAAAGGGAGAGGGGTCTTACCGTGATCCCACACACTGCGATCACACTCGATGCAGTCTGCATCAGTCAGGGGACACACACAGGCGTGAGTGCTCAGACATTTCCTGCCGTGGCACACCCAAGCTTCACAGAAGTCACATACTGCCCCCTTGTGGTCACGGAGAATTACAAACAATCAGTCAAATCAGTTTGCCATGGATTTACTTTTACTGAAGTCACAGTACAAATCTGAATAAATTGATCTCAGACAAAAAATAGTGTACTACATTGCAGGCTATTATATCCGGTACATGCTTTGTAATTTAGTAGGTAATAGTCACTGATCACTGGGCTGTCATTCATCACTTGCATTTTGTTTAAATCATTATTCTGTTAACCTATTCCAGCATGTCGGATCCCTACTAGGACAGCGTTTAGACTGCGTTTCTTCTTTCTTCAATAATAATTATAATAAAAATAATAATAATAATAATAATAATGCAATACTTGAACACAAAAATGCACAATTGTGACAAAGACTGTAAGCTCAGAGTTTTCTTAGAATCATCGGGTGTTTCAGCTTTGGCTGATCAGACCCCAGCTTGTGTCCACATGGCGAGCTACTACTGACACAATAGGTATAATTTCTTGAGCCATTTTGAGGCTCTCTCTGCCGCTTTGGTGGTATTATGGATAGCTATCCTCATCCTCTCTTCCCTGATGGCCAAATGGCTGAGGGCTCAGGTTAGAGTGTGGACAAAGAAACCCCTACACCCAATCTCTACTGAGACGCACTGTGTTCTCAATCTAACACATGGGCAGGCACTGACAAGTCCTGCATACTTGCTCTCTTCCAGGTAAACTTCCCAGGGGACTTTCACCACCTGAACAACAGCTTGCTTCGTGGGTACGAGGATAATGTCCTCATGCGGTGGCAGCGATGTGGTTGGGGAACTTCAGCTTGCATCTGAGGTGCACTAACAGCTGCTAGTCCCTTGCAGAGGCCAGCAGTTGGCTGGTTTGAAGCACATTTGGGCCGGCGCTTGCGAGAGCTTGTGTCTTCAACAAATTTAATGGAATCTGGGGCCTAGTCATGGTTTGCGGTTCCCGTTAGCCTTTCCTTTTACAGTTGCATCCAGAATTTGGTAAACATTGTTGACTGGTTCCACAGTGGGGTTGTGTTCGCTACTAGCCACTTGATCCGTCTCCCCTTAGACTTGTTGTTAGAGGGAGTCAATTGTAAAACTTGGGTAGGTCTGGGCACCATGGGGTGCCTCCAGGCCTGGACTCTCCTGCATCTTAGCAGGTTGGACACCTATGCATTTTGCTCGTGCTTCCACCAAACACTTCATCCTTGTTAGGGGGATCTTCGAGCAAAGTTTGTAGCAGAATTTGCCACATGCACACTGCTTGATTATAGTAGTCTGGGGTGCTTCTCCCCCATTCTCTGGTACCCCTGTGGGTGTCATTCCATTAACTCTCCAGTAATGGCCACAGTTGTTGTGGTTGTCACCCAGTCTTTCCTGGTAGTCAAAGAATAGCAGTATGTTGCTAACTTACCACCATGGCCATCCCAGTGCTGTGGATCCCAGGATGTTTGATGACGCAATCTGATGACTTCATGCACTTGGTTTTGCCTGACAACACAAGCATTAAATAGGTCATATTTTAATAAGCTGTCACAACCAGTAGTTGTATTGCCACTACGTGGATAATTCTGATGTAATTACAGCATTTTTCAGATTAATAATGTTTAAAAGATTTTACAGTACTTAATTGGCATGCACTGCTGACTGCCAATGTGTCTTTTAGAATATCACCACTCTGAATATTTTCAACTTATACACATAGTGGCTTTAAATGTGCATTCACTGATTTTAGGATTATCAGGATCAGCTTATCTGTCATTGTGACGGAGCGGCTCCGTCACTGAGTGCGGGACGCACGCACACACACACATACACACTCACTCCCCGCTCCCTTACAGCCTCAATTAAGCCGGTCATAAACCTCGCTATTATGCATATTTCTTCTACTGTTTAAGTAGCGCGATCAAGGGTGCACACTTGGTAGTTCTACTCTTCTTTAAGCATACATTTAAACAAACATCAAACACTTACTTTGTATCGAGATGCATCGCTGCTCTGTTTTCCATTCAGTTTGGCAAAACGGGAGTGTAACATTTCCGTCTTTTAAATAGCATGTTCTCGCGCGCTTTCATGGTCATGTGAACTGCAAAATTATGGTTTTTGGTTGTAGTAATAATTTGCGATGTAAGTAACTGTTCCAGGGGAAGTAAAAATGTTGGATATAATTATTGTTGAAAATATATCGAAGTGTAATAGATATAAATCCTTTTCTGAAGGTAGTAAAATCTATTCATTATATGGTGTAAATAATGGTTAAGCCTAGTGGGAGGGGCTACTGTCTTTAAAAGTCGCCGCTTTGGCCTGTGAGGGCAGTCTTGGCCTGGTTACAGAGGAGGTAACTAGTGAATTGTATGTTGGGTTTTTGTGTAACTTTATTATTGAGTAAGTTATAAATTCTTTTTTTCAAATAGTTAATTTTTGTTTCATTTTCTTTATGCAAGTTTTTTTTCCCCCACTGTTTGCACTTTGGAGGCCGGCATAATAAAAATCACGCCACTATTTTTCGACTACGCCTGTGTTTTCTCTTATTATTGAGAGTTTGGAAGAGAACCCCGCTACATATGGTGTCAGAAGTGGGATGGCTAGTCGGAAAAAGGTATCCCGCCCTCCAAGGCAGCGCACAGGGCTGCGTTCCCAGCGGCGGGGACAGCAGATGGAGATGGAAACCAATCATGCAGACCCAGCTTGGGAGACAGTACCTTCATTGTCGTCGTCATCAGAGGAAGGTGAGGAAGGGGGCAGTTCCTGGGCCGCTCCAGCAGCACGTACCACCCCCACAACAACAAGTGTACCAGGGGATGGGTTACTTACAATGATGAGAGACTTCTTGGCAGCCCAGCAAAGTAGAGAGGAGGGGCTGTTGGCAGAGATCCGAGGACTGAGGGCCTCTCTTCCATTGACTTACCAGGTGTCACAACCTTCCGCCCAGCCAAGTCAAACTGCTGCCCAAACACCTCCTGCTATCAACCTTCCAGTTCCAGCAGCAACCCCAAGCACAGTGACAGCAAGCAGTCCCAGGCTGGAACTTCCCACACCCGCTCCTCGGCGGGTGCATCGTGATGCACTTGTGGAGGCATCCTCTCTCCAGTTCAATGACTCAAGCGGCAGAGATGAACAGCCAAGGTCAGAATGTAGGCATTATAGTGAGCCCAAAATTCCACCGTTTCAGATGGGTGAGGACATTGAAAATTATTTGCTACGTTTTGAACGCATTGGCAAAACGTGGAAATGGCCAGAGAGTGAGTGGGCATGCAGACTTGTTCCCCTGCTGTCTGGAAAGGCACTGGAGGCCTACACTGCAATGGATGAGGAGCGAGCAGACTGCTATACAGACCTGAAGGCAGCGCTGCTGACCAAGTTCGACATCTCCCCAGAGACGTACCGGCAACAGTTCCGATCAGCAATGATACCACCTGGAGAGAACCCCACCGAGACCTACCACCGCCTTAAGGGCCTCTACCGCCGCTGGATCCGGCCAGAGCAACACACCAAGGAGGAGGTTGGTGAGGCCATCATCCTGGAGCAGTTACTTCGAGTTCTTCCTTTCGAGGTGAGGACATGGGTGAAGGAGCATGAGCCAGTGGATGGCCTTACGGCAGCCAAGCTGGCTTTACAGTACCTCAACGCCAGGAGAGGAGGACCAGCTACTCGCTCCACCGGTGCAGCACATCGACCAATATTCCAGCCACCCCAGCCTAGGTCTGTAAAGAGAGAGAATAGCCAGGAGCTTCTGGGTAATTCCAGCACTGCCCCAAACCAACGAATATCTGGTAAAGAACTTGTTTGTTTTTATTGCCAGCAGTCAGGCCACAAAGCTTCTGTGTGTCCCATACGCAAAGCCAAGGTCACCGGCGCTTGCTATGCACCCCGGCCGGAAAGAGGGCCTGTCGGGGATAAGGAAGCGAGAGTACAGCGCTATAAAACTGTGACTATCAATGGGCAGCAGGTTACTGCACTATTGGACACTGGGAGCTTCATGTCTCTGGTTAAGTACAGTTTGGTACCAGTAGGCAGTGTGGACTACAGTAGACAAACAGACATTTTGTGTGTTCATGGGGATAAGCACCTTTATCCCAAAACGGATTTAACAGTTACCATTGATGAACAGCCTTACCTGTTGACTGTTGGGGTGGTTGAACACTTGCCTGTAGATGCCATTTTGGGTTGGGATCTACCGGTACTCATGGACTTATTACAAGAAACTGAACTGCCAGTGGAAATTGCCTCAGGGGAGGAAGGGGAGGTTGATGTGAATGTGTCTTGCCCTGTGATTACTCGAGCCCTGGCAAAAGCTGGTGTCCAACCACTCCCAGACTTGGACAGTAGTCTGTGTGAGGGAGGCACCAAGGGGCCAAGAAAATCCCGCCGACAACGCCGCTTTGAGAAGCAGCTAAGGCCACCAGAACCTAAAAAAATTGGTTTGTTGTCGGATAAAATGTGGGAAGTGCCTGAAAATATTTCTGAACTGCAGAGGGAAGATGAAACTTTGAAACCTTTATTTGCTAAGGTAGTAGAAGTGGGTACAAAGGGGAATTGTGTGGGAAAGGAAAGGTTCATTGTTGATAACGATGTTTTGTATGCAGTTGATGACCAGGAACGTCTAGTAGTCCCTGCTAGCTGTAGACCTCTGGTCATGCACTTGGCACACACACTTCCATGGGCCGGGCATCTTGGCCGCCATAAAACCTATCTTCGCATAAGTAAGCGTTTTTATTGGCCCTCCATGTATACAGACACCCAGAGATACTGCACCACATGCCCCACATGTCAGAAAACCAGTACTCCCCGCAAGTCGGACAGAGCCTTCCTGCGGCCACTTCCGGTTATTGCCACTCCATTCCGCAGAATTGCCATGGACATTGTGGGCCCTCTGGTGAAAAGCAGCGGGGGTCATCAGTATATTTTGGTTGTGTGTGACTATGCTACTCGTTTCCCTGAGGCCTTCCCCCTGCGCACCATTACTGCTCCCACTGTTCTGCGTGTGTTGGTTCAACTGTTTTCCAGGGTGGGGATACCGGATGAGATTCTGACGGACCAGGGAACTAATTTCACCTCCAAGTTGATGCAGCTCTTCCATAAACAACTGGGCATCTCAGCAATCAAAGCCACACCGTACCATCCACAGACGGATGGTCTGGTTGAACGGTTCAACCAGACACTGAAGAAGATGCTGCAGAAGTTTGTGGATGACACTGGCAAGGATTGGGACCGTTGGTTGCCGTTTCTGCTCTTTGCCTACCGTGAAGTCCCCCAGGCATCTACAGGATTCTCCCCATTTGAGCTGCTATATGGCTGGGATGTGCAGGGACCATTGGATCTGCTCCGCAAGGGTTGGGAGGCCCCATCCACCACTTCAAGTGACAGAGGGGTGGTGCAGTTTGTGTTAGAGATGAGGGATCGGCTAGCAAGATATCGAGAGGAGGCAGAGGTCAACCTGCATGCGGCCCAGAAAAGCCAGAAGATCTGGTATGACCAACAGGCGCGGCAACATGATTTCCAGCCTGGCCAAAAAGTCCTGTTGCTTCTCCCTTCGTCAAACAGCAAACTTCTGGCAAAATGGCAAGGGCCATTCATCATCCTCCGCAAGATGGGTCCGGTCACTTATGAGGTCCATCACCCTGATAAGAAGAAACCCAAACAGACCTACCATGTCAACTTACTGAAAGAGTGGAAGGACTGTCCAATCCCAGCTCCAGAGCAAGCTCTGATGGTGAGGGAGGTGGACATGGAAGTGGAAGAGGAGGTTGGACCGGAACCTGTCACAACAACTACTCCTCCCCTTCTCGCTCATCTGGCACCAGCACACGCTGCACAGCTCCTCCAAGTCTTCCAGAAGACTCCTTCCCTCTTTGCAGCCAGTCCTGGGAGAACCACCCTTGTTGAGCATGTTGTTCGCCTAAAGGATGGACGACCCATCCGGCAACGTCCCTATCGTGTGCCACAACATCTAGTGGAAAAACTACAGCAGGAGGTAGAGGAGATGTTGAAGCTTGGAGTGATTGAGCCTTCTAACTCAGAGTGGTGCAGCCCAGTGGTCATCGTCTTCAAGAAGGATGGCTCTCTCCGCATCTGCATTGATTTCAGGAAGCTCAATGCCATCTCAGAGTTTGATGCCAACCCGATGCAAAGAATCGATGACTTACTGGAGAAAATTGGAGCTGCCAAATACATTACCACCCTGGATCTGTGTAAGGGTTACTGGCAGGTGCCATTGGAGGAGTCGTGCCGGCCATATACCGCATTCCAAACACCGGCTGGACTTTTCCATTTCACTGTGATGCCATTTGGACTGCACGGAGCACCAGCCACCTTTCAGAGATTGATGGACAGGGTCCTGCAGGGTTGTGACTACTGTAGCGCAGCTTACCTCGATGATGTGGTGATCTTCAGTAACACATGGGAGGAGCATGTCCAACATCTGTCATTGGTAATGGGAATGATCAAGAAGGCGGGGTTGATGCTCAACCCCTCCAAATGTGAATGGGCACGGCAGGAGACACGGTACCTGGGTTACCAGCTAGGGTGAGGAGAGGTGCGTCCGCAAGTGGATAAGGTGGAAGCTATCCAGAAATGCCCTCGTCCCCGCACCAAGAAGGAAGTACGGTCCTTCATGGGTTTGGCAGGCTGGTACAGGCGATTTGTGCCTCAGTTTGCAACTATTACCGCACCCCTCACTGCTCTTACCAGGAAGGACCAGAGGAACCCAGTAACCTGGACAGATGACTGTGAAACCGCCTTCAGTACACTGAAAGCCTGCCTGTGCTCTTCCCCTGTCCTCAAGTGTCCAGATTTCAACAGAAGATTTCTGGTACAGGTGGATGCATCCGCAGTCGGTCTTGGAGCAGTTTTGGCCCAAGGAGACCCTGGCGATGAACACCCCATTTTGTACCTGAGCCGAAAACTGCAGCCTCGTGAGACTACGGTGGAAAAAGAGGGCTTGGCCATTAAGTGGGCACTGGAGAGCCTACGTTACTACCTGCTAGGACGGGAGTTTGATCTGGAAACTGACCACCGAGCTCTCACTTGGATCAACTCAATGAAGGACCACAATAGCCGCCTTACTCGATGGTACCTTTCACTCCAGCCATTCAGGTTCACCATCCGACACAGGTCAGGCCAGGCCAATGTGGTAGCAGATTACCTTTCACGGTTGCCGCACATCGCCAACCTCCAGGAGGAGGGGGATGATGTGACGGAGCGGCTCCGTCACTGAGTGCGGGACGCACGCACACACACACATACACACTCACTCCCCGCTCCCTTACAGCCTCAATTAAGCCGGTCATAAACCTCGCTATTATGCATATTTCTTCTACTGTTTAAGTAGCGCGATCAAGGGTGCACACTTGGTAGTTCTACTCTTCTTTAAGCATACATTTAAACAAACATCAAACACTTACTTTGTATCGAGATGCATCGCTGCTCTGTTTTCCATTCAGTTTGGCAAAATGGGAGTGTAACATTTCCGTCTTTTAAATAGCATGTTCTCTCGCGCTTTCATGGTCATGTGAACTGCAAAATTATGGTTTTTGGTTGTAGTAATAATTTGCGATGTAAGTAACTGTTCCAGGGGAAGTAAAAATGTTGGATATAATTATTGTTGAAAATATATCGAAGTGTAATAGATATAAATCCTTTTCTGAAGGTAGTAAAATCTATTCATTATATGGTGTAAATAATGGTTAAGCCTAGTGGGAGGGGCTACTGTCTTTAAAAGTCGCCGCTTTGGCCTGTGAGGGCAGTCTTGGCCTGGTTACAGAGGAGGTAACTAGTGAATTGTATGTTGGGTTTTTGTGTAACTTTATTATTGAGTAAGTTATAAAATCTTTTTTTCAAATAGTTAATTTTTGTTTCATTTTCTTTATGCAAGTTTTTTTTCCCCACTGTTTGCACTTTGGAGGCCGGCATAATAAAAATCACGCCACTATTTTTCGACTACACCTGTGTTTTCTCTTATTATTGAGAGTTTGGAAGAGAACCCCGCTACAGTCATGGTTAATACTACTCTCAAGTTTAAATAAATACCTCCTGATGATGGCATTAAAGTTATCTTAGCATGGCCTTGAGGCTTAAAAATTTAGAACAGAAAGACTGCATTACAAACTGAAAATCTGTGGCTGAAAACATAAATGTACTGTTTAGTCCTTCAACAATTTTTAACAACTGCAGAAATCAGCTGATTTAGGATTTTACTTAGCTTTTAATAAATGAATTTACATATTCATGATCAGTTTTTAAATATTTCTGTATTCAGTAGGAATGATTGGGATCGAGACTGAGAGTCACAGACAGACTCTGGATGGCGGTAAGATTTGAAAGACAAACTAACACCTTGTTGGGGAAAAAATAAAATACATCTTTCACTACAGTTTACTCACCACACTGAGCACAGACAGGCAGCTTCTGCACAGAGTTACAGAAGTAGCAGAAGGCTCTGTTCTTCTGTTTTCTACCAGGTGAAATTACAAGGAGAATTATGTTTTTTTGTGCATTACATAAGTAAAAGAAACAATACCACAATGTAAAAATTGTTGTTTTTTTACAAGCAAAATGTATTCTGTATTCAAAGTCTTACTTAAGTAAAAGATCATGAGTATTGGCATTAAAAAGTAGTCATTATACGGCCCATTTCAGAACAACACATACTTTATCACTGGATAACAATTAGTGATGCATTAATGCGTTAGCCTCACTAATGTTGCAGCTAGTAAAGGTGGGGCCAATTTCAACTACTATGGTATTTTAATCCTTACTTAAATTATAATTTTTTTTTTAATATACTAAAAGTACAAGTACCTCAGAATTCTACTTCATTTCCAAACCTAAGTAAATGTACTTTACATTCCACCACTGCTTGAATAAATATTACATAATGAGATACAGTCACTTACCTCTGACATTTGTCACAATCCTACAAGACAGAAGGCAATAAAGAAATAAAGTAAGATATAGTATTCAATAGTATGACAGGTAACTTAGCGTTTTTGTGTATCGGCTACAGTAGCTAAGTTACTAACCATGTTAAAGTTGCAGGGGTGTTTGGCCACATCTACATGTTCCCGGTTGGCTCGACTCTGTTTCTCTCGCTCCTTACGACTTTCAGCCTTTTTCCGGGCACCGGTTTTCTTTTTGGGCATTTCTGCTTCAACGGGCCGGTAGCCACACAGCTAACTGCTAGTTTGACGTCAAGTTATCTACAAACACGGATACATAGGTGCTGCTGTGGATCCGTAACAACCAACAGCTGGCTAGTTTATCTTTAGTTGCAATTAAGCTAACAGCAGATACCTTTAAGTTACTGTAAATGTTTTATCTGACTTCTGTTATCAGTAAAAATACATTGTATCTAGTAAGCAAGGTAATGCTAGATCGCCAACATATGTGACGCATTATGAGGCCAAATATGTACAATTAGCTTAAGGTTAGTTTATAACGTTTTTGTTGGCTAAGTTAGCTGTTCCAGCCAAGAAGACAGTTTTGAAAATGACACGTTAGTCACGTGGTAAGAAAATTTAATTAACTTAAGTGTCAGCTGTTTATCTATAATATTTAGGCTGTCTAACAGTTAAATTAATGACCCTTAATGTTACATCCAAGTGTCATTTCAAATGTTCAAGTATGATTTGCAGTTTTCTTACCGAAAAGATCGCCGATTTCTCGCAAGTCCGGTCTGGAACTCTGTGCGGGATGAAACATACTGCCCAGCTTTGGTTCCTACTTTTAATTCCGCATTCCCTAAAGACAATAAATGTTTGCTCTCATCTTGACTTTTGCACTTTGGGTTACCCAGAGTCAAAACTGTAGTTGTGAACAATCTGGTTAATAGTGAATAGTCTAAATATGTTTAAAGAGTCATAAAACACATTTTGTGATGCCATGTTTGCAGATACAAGCAAGTTGTATCTCACTATTAAATCTGCCAGAGAAATCAACCGAGCCTGTAATGACCTGCAATCACAACCTGGCAATGCAAAAAGTTTTCTTTATGCAAAAAAAAGCTAATTACTGAAGTAAATTAATTTGTGAAAAGTGATTAGTGAAACCCTGCCTAGTGAAGAACCTACCTTATTGAGAATTAACTCGTTTAATCTGAGAACCCCCCGTTTAATCTGTCGATTATTCAAACTAATTTATTGTGCAAGCAGGCTGAACTTTCTAGACATTTGTAGGTAAGTTGGCGTATCTATTATATAGTTGTTGTATAGACACTGAAAATAATTTCACCTCAGCATTTAAACATCTCAGATTACTAATGAAGCAACTCTTCTATAAAGATTTCAGGAGATATTGATTCAAATCTGTAATATAGAATGGGTGGGGTTTTTAGAATAAAAGACAAAAAAACATGTCAACAGAATTGTGAGATGGAATATGACACATGAGTAAATGGAATAACACAACAAAATTAAATTAATTTTAAAATAATTAATTAAAAGATTAATGTATAATTTAAAAACACAGAACAGCGCCATTAATGGGCTAGAATAATGATTTTAATTACATTTAATTAATATAATTGATTTACTTGGATGTATCAATTAACAGATTTACTATTTAAACCCCGTAAAAGTCTATATTTATTCCAGGTTCTGTAGATTACCAGAATGTAATACCTTTTTATATACAGTATATGTGTAATACCGTAATACCCAAGAAATTTAATTTAGATGTCTTCTTTACTTTTGATGCACAAATAAATTAATAACAACTCTAACATTTCCTACAGTGTAACATTTTACAAAATGCAAAACTGTTAATTATTAATTTCTTTGGCAGTGGTTTATAGGGTTTACATGATTTATTACAATTTTAGTTTCTCCACATGCCACGGGGCGTCACAGCCACCATATCCACGCCCATGTCACGTGCTGATGCGCGGTGAGCCAATCCGGAGCGAGGACGGGAAACAGCTGACGGAGAGCAACAACACATAGCGACGTCTTTTCCTGCAGGTGGTGTGTAGTAGACTCCTGCACGTAGCTCACAAACTCTTTGGACCCCTCGGTGTTTAGCAATGCAAGGTTAATGCACTTTGTTTAACCAGAGCCTTCTGTAAAAAAAAAAAAAAAAAAAAGTAAAAAAATAAAGATAGAAAGAGGGACTTGGTGCGAGCTTTCCAGTGAGGAGGAGACCCCGGAGCTCGTCGTCCATCCCAAACCAGCCGCACAATGGCACCGTCCCTCATCGGAGCTTGCCGCAGTCTGGCTCTCTCGACGTGGCTGCTGTCGTTTTGTTTCGTCCACCTGCTGTGCCTGGACTTCACGGTTGCAGAGAAAGAGGAATGGTACACGGCGTTCGTCAACATCACCTATCTGGACCCCGTCACATCGGAGGTCAAGACAGAGAAAACCGAGTGCGGTCGGTATGGCGAGCACTCGCCGAAGAAAGAAGCCAGAGGTCTGGTCCTGGTGCCGTCGTCCCTGCAGGACAGACAGGCGTGCGACCCAAACGTCAGGTTCCCTCCCGTCTTTCACAACACCGCCTGGGTGGCGTTGGTGGCTGCGGGGAATTGCACATACCGAGAGAAAATCCGTAACGTTGCCAACCTCAACGCCTCTGCAGTTGTCATATACAATGTGGGCTCCAGCAGTGCCAACGACACCATAACAATGCCCCATCCAGGTAAGAGGCGACCTGTCTCCCTGCAAGAGAAGTCTCATTTTTACAGGCTTTTCCTCCATAATCCCTGTCCAGTTGAGTGTTGGAGGCCTATAAATGTCACTTAAGTAGTTGCTTCTTTAGTGTTTGGCACCTCTGGACAAGATTAATGGTTTTCATTCCACCTGCTGGGGTCCCAGACCCACTCTGCATCTCTGTAATCAGCTAAATAATCAATTAGTGGTAAATTAGAAAAGTTGCTCCAAGTAGATGGACTGACCCACTGCCACAGATCTGCTGAATTTGCCAACTGGTTGTAGGTGTGGGTGCAACCTTTGAAGGCCATGTTAATATACACCATCTGTCATTAAAAATGTTTTTATATTCATGCCACTTTGATACCTGGGTTCCAATGTTACTTATTACTTACTTATGTGCTCCAAACTTTAAGAGAGATGAACGTGTTTTTCCTACTCTACCTTTTTGTCATTTTAGTGTTGGTCTGACACAGTTTTTAGTGTCCCATGTGTCTGTACCACAGTCACACATCAATTGGTGCCAGATAACATTATTTATGGTAAATTCCCAGCCCTATACACCAGAAGAGGTCGCCTCTATTAGTGCCTTAAAACTACATATCACTGAACACAACTCTTTCACTGAGTTTATTTTCCATGCCTAGTAAAATAAACTTGATGTGTTAAACATTCTAAATCCTAAAAAACAACAAAGATAAAGCACAGACCTCTTTTACTAACAATGCAAATACAACATTATCTATCATAAAGTATCAGAGATCTATAAAGGAAACAAAACAAATATTTTAAGTGGGATTAGTGCATAAACAACACAGATGTTTATACAGCATTTGTTGAACTACCATTTTTATGGAAAGAACACTAACCAATTTCATTGTGTGGGATTTTCTAGCTATACTTGTGTTTTTTAGGAATGATATGATTCCTTGTCCTGGTGGGTTTTTCTATTGGATCAAGTATCCTGGAAGTCATAGATAATCAGTTTTTTGTTCAAATGCTCTTCATCAGCACACACACCTGCTGACACAGGGGCTGGGATGTCTGTTTTGCATTGTAATGTGGTCTTTGTTCTCAAATTGCCACTCTGCTCTTCTGTGCTTTTTAAATATTTTTTTATTTGTCAAAACAGAGAAGGATATTATGCATAGATACTGTACATGTATCAGTCCATCTAGTTTTGTAATAGATCTATATAACTGTCCCAGAGTTGCAATAAACCTTCAAATTATTTTTGTACAGTTATCACAGTTTTAACTCTTGGTTTCCCCCCTCAATTCTATTTTATGCAGTTTTTAATACTGAATCAGTTGTTTGCAAGAATAAAAGTTGACTTCTTTTTACTACAGTAGCTGTGAGCAAAGGCTTGTTTTCCACTTGACTTGTATTTCCATTGGAAACGAGCTCCCAGTTTGTTGGTAGTTGTCATAAAGATGTGGCTGACCAGACAGCTACACCTGTGCAAGACAACAGCACAATGCAAGAAGGCTGTTTGAAAAAAGGATCTGTACAATAACAGATGTTTAATCAAAACGCTTGGAACACTTAAGGACACAATGGTCAATTGACTTCGAGACTTTTTTTAAATGAAAAGGCCCTTTTGTACAGAAGTGTAACAGCCACCTGTCACATAAGCAGATAATTTAAATTCAATACAAAGCCAGTGACTTGTCTGACCCTTCAGATCCCTTTTTATAGTATTTAGTCACAATGTTGTTGCACTATTGTAGCTAAATGTAGCTAAAAAAATGTAGCTAAAAAAAATAAAGTAATGCAGGTCATTTTTGTACTTTACTTAAAACATTTAACAGTATTTGAACATTAAAAATCCTCTATTCCTCCTCTGTTCTTGGAGTAGCAAACAAAGGCTCATCACTAGGTTACCTAGAACATTAAAGGCACCAGGCTATTTTAAAGGCTTGCCCTGCTTTGAGCCCTGGCATATATATATATATATATATATATATATATATATATATATATATATATATATATATATATATATATATATATATATATATATATATATATATATATATATATATATATATATATATATATATATATATATAAACTGAGACACTTTGAGACAGAAACAGCAGCCAGGAGAGATGTGATGACAAAGCTGGTAGAAAAGAGGAAGGCAACTGAGGGTACAGTGACAAAGCAACTTTTCTTAATGTGTAGACTGAACGTGAGGCTGCCAAAGAAAGAATAGAGCACTTCCCTGTCCAGAGCCAACACAGCTGGGCTGTAAAATCCACAGTTGCCAGAGCCAGGAACCTCTCATGGCCTGGCCTCATTTAACCCCTTCATCCCAAGAATGTGATGTGTCAAAATAATGTGTCAGCTTTCGACTATAAAGCCGGGTTAGATACTATGGGTTTATCATTGGTGTGTTGGTCTGGATAAAGTTTTAATCTTCACAGCCCTTTTCCTGTAAAAGCCCCTGTGAACCGTATCACTGGTATCACTTGAATATTCAATCACATTTAATCTCCCAGATGAGTTGTATAGAGGTAACTAGTAACACTGATACCTCTCATATCTCTACAGTAAATAGGCCTGTAGACATGTAGCTGAAGCCATCAGCAGATTAGCTAATCTTAGCATACAGACTGGAAACAAGAGGAAACAGTTACCCAGGCAGTGGCCAAAGGTAAAACAAAGTTTTAAATGCCTACCTCATCACCTCTTGTTCCTTTGTTTAACCCACACAATAAACAAAGTGTAAAAATGACATTTTGCTGTTTAAAGAGAGGCTTTGTTCCAGACTTTTTTCTCTTTTTTTGCCTTAGAGCACTAACTTCCTAGTCTGCACTGGTTGCTTGGCAACGGTTCAGCACCAAGTTTTTTTTTCATACTTCAATTTTTGTATGGATTAATCAAATAAGATGTGTTAATTAACATGATGTTACCTTTGGACTGAACCAGGCTACCGGTTTCTCTTAGTTTCTAGTCTTTGTGCTCCGCTAAGCTAACTGACTGCTGGCCTCAGCTACAGATATGCTAGTAGTATCAGCCTTCCCATTTAACTCCCAGTAAGAAAGCGAATAAGTGTATTTCCCAAAATGTCAAACTACTCATTTTGTCAACAACTCTGAAGCTTTTTTTATATTAACCACAGTGTAAGCCTACTTTATGTAACTGTCAGGTTCAGGTGAGCACATGGTTGTTAATAAAAGATTCACCAGTTAATTTAGTGTTATCCACTTTGCAGCAGACCAAAAGCCTGCTAGTGAAATGAACGGGTTGGTGTCCACTGAATTACCCCTTCAGTATGTATCCCTCTTGGCTTCCACAGCTTTTCACAAGTTCAGCCTCAGTCTCAGATGTTGCCCTCCTGTTTTAGAGGCAGCTATTTTTGTCCACTTTGACTGCGTCACAGTGAACAGAACAAGCAGATAAGAGTCAAGGCTTAGGGAAATCTTACATGCCTTGTTATGGCTTTCCTAATTTCTCTTCTATGAAGCTGAAGCTGACCATACACAGACATTTTGTAAAGGAGTCTGGAAGCAACAGTTTTATTATTGAAATCCTTTGCCTTCACAGGCATTGCACACCATATGGCCATGCTGCATAAAACCATAAACCAGCAGGTCAGGAGAGTGTGTGTCTGAGATTACACACATTTAAAAAGAGGTTTACATAACAGTGAACATGGAGTCTTGAGTATTAACTTGTATTACTGGGGAAGACTGTTAATATATTTCTTAATCCACCTATTTAAAAAACACTCATTTTATAAACTCTGAAAATGCCTGTCAACCACACGTCTAACTTATTTAAATTTTTATGTCGGTGAGAAAGACAATGAAGAAGTGTGGCAGCTCATGGCCTAAGAGTCTGAATAGACAGTAGTGTTCAGCAGCGTGTCACCATCTGTTTGCTGTCCAAACACAAGCTTTTGTTTTCTCTGTCATTGTTTGTAGTAGGGTTTGCTTCAGAAGCTCTAGCGTACATACACTCATTTTAAGGGAGCAGCCATGTTAACGCAAGGATAAACCTTTGTGTTGACAGTGGAGATACTGCTAACTGCATTACTGTGTGATTATGGGTGAGTAGGGATCTGGCTGTGTTTGAAGAGGATGGTACAAATCAAGTGGTTTGTACCCATTTCTACCTTTCCCGTAACAAAACAGTTAATTGAAGCATTTGTTTGATTGTTAAGAATGCTGCTTTGCCCAAATATATTTACTGTATTGTGTTCTGAAACAAAAATTACAACCATGTTCTGAAATTCTGTTTCCACAAGAATTTAAATTAAAAAGTTCAGCTAGGTAACATATAGAGGCCTGTGCTGATTAACGGACGTGATTTTGGTCTGATTTCTCTGGTAAATGCAGCTGTGCTGTGCAGATTTCCTAACCTGTTACGTAAAGGGATTTATGAGCATGACTGCTATAATGCATTGCAGCTACATCCTTAAAATGTAGTGTCAGTTGGATTCAAAGCCTTTAACTCCTCTGCAAAACACAAAACACCATATTCTCTGTCAGTCTTAATACCTCTGTGGCAGAATCACCCCAGAATATAATGTGAAAATAGCTCTGTGCAGATCTCTGTGAGGTGCATGAGGATTTGTCACGGCACTTTGCTGCACAGGGGATGCTGTTGGTGATGGCAGGTGGAGTAACGCTACTGGTAATGGTGACTGAATGAGGGAGTGAAGCACCGCACGGAGCCTCTGTGACTCTATGCAGCCATAGTCATAAACAGGTGGCAGGAGAAATATGATGTAACAGTTTTTCAAGCTGTTGATGCAGTTCCTGGAAACATCAGCCAGTGTTGTGTCACTTCCCCCATTATAGACAATTTCAAATAAACTATACAGAAGAGATGCTGAGTGAGACTGGATGTTTTGAGACCGGTACAGAGATCGATGTTTGGAAGTTAGAAATCTAATAATGACATGTCAGCCGAAATGTTTTCACATAAGAAATGGCAGCATTTTTGAACCCTCCTACATTTCATTTTCCATTTTATCTTCACTGCAAACTGTCAAATAAAGGCAAAAATACTATTTTTTTTTTTTTTACCTGTCAAACTACAGTATGTAATCGTGACACTATTTCTAAATGACCTCAACATATCTCTGCAGTTTTTGGTTACAGACTTATTCACAGATAACAATACTTCTGCGATAAGCAGATATCAGGCGATAATATCAGCATCAGTTAGATCTGTAGTATAGGCTGGGCATCTATACTTTCTTTAGCTAGTCCTGAAATAATTGATTGAGCAACAGAAAATGAATTGTCAGCTATTTTAATAATCTACTAATTCTTTAGGTAAAATCAACCAAGCCAATATGACTTACAAGTTCCAGTTTCTCATTTGAGTTTTGTCTTCTTTTCTCTGTTTTGTGTAATTTTAATCTGAATATCTTTATGTGTTAAGCTGTTTTAAACACATTTGAATGCACGTCCCTGTGATGGACATTTGTTGTGACAATATAATTAATTAATGAAAGAAATTATACACACATTTATCAATAATGACAATGATAGTTTTAGCCTAAAGTTAACTGAACTGTGGCGAGCATGAGAAGAAGTACTGTCTTAGCTAATGCTAATGTTAATTTTTCATGCAAACCCATAGAAATCCTGTCCTGTAAACGCGGTCTTCCTCCTGGACTTATTTCGGGTGCAGGTGTTGAAAGATGCTCTGTGACTGTAATGCAAAAGTCTTCATCGTGCACAACATGCAAAGCAACAGAAGGTTGGTGGCAGGAAGCCTCTTACATAGCAAGTGAGGCTTTAGTTTTGCTGTCCTGTCTAAGCTCCCAGCAATCTGCCCAAGTTTTCTCTCTTGTATACACCACAGTCTGAATCAGAAACTGAGTTTTCACACCTGCTCTGCTTTAAATGACAATTCTTTATATACCAGAGTTGGATGGTAGGAATCTACTTGTAAAAAGTATTTCTAATTTCTAAGCTTTGGTAAGCATTTGTGTATATCCATAAATATTAAGGAACCAGGGCTGTGTGATGCTAAATTCATTTGTATTGTAAAAAGGGTTGGATTAAGAAACTGTAGCCAAAGCCTACAGTTGGTCTTTAAAGAAGTTATTTTCAGTTGCAGTTTAATGAGATTTATTGCCTTTCTGTTGTGTTGCCTAATTTTTGTCCTAATTACCAAAACAAATTTCAGATCGCTTTAATACAACTACAGCTATTTTCAGGATGTCAGAAAAAAAGGAAGAATGCTCGTTATAATTTCCCAGAGTCCAAAGTGATGTCTTTAAATGTCTTGTTTTGTCTGACCAACAGTCCAAAACCCAAAGATATTCAGTTTGCTATCATGAATGACAAGAAAATAATAAAATCCTGACATTTGAGAAGCTGGAATCTGGAACCAATGGATGTTTAGCATTTTTTTCTTCGTTTTCTATCAGTTGACTAGAGAGACTAATTGTTGCAGCTGTAGACATTATACAAAAATACATTGAACTTGTATTAATTCATTTTCAAAGTTTAACTGTTTAGTTATATTTTCTGTAACATATATCTCACTAAGTGCTGTTTCAAAGCTTACTCCACAAAAGATATGAATATATAATTCATGGGGAAAGATAATTTCTGTATTTTAGTTTAAGTGTGTGTGTGTGTGTGTGTGTGTGTGTGTGTGCGCGCAGGTACAGGCGATGTTGTGGCCATTATGATCCCAGAGCCTAAAGGTCGTGAGATTGTGGCGTTGCTGGAGCAACACATCAACATCATGTTATACATCACCATAGGAACCCGCAACCTGCAGAAGTACGTGAGCAGAACATCGGTAGTGTTTGTCTCCATCTCCTTCATCGTTCTCATGATCATCTCCCTCGCCTGGCTTGTCTTCTACTATATCCAGAGGTTCCGCTATGCTAATGCACGAGACCGCAACCAGGTATGACTGTGTGCACTTTGCTCAATCAAAGTATAACTCGTATTTCTGTGTAAAAGGCTTCCTGACAGGGCTGTAGTGCTGTGGTCTCACTCACACTGAGAAAGGCTCTTACATTTTTTCCATTTGCTGTCAGCTCTGTACGGCTGTGAGGAGAGGCCAGAATTAGCCTGAAAGCTGGCCAAACAGAGACGTGGCAAACCAGTGAACCATCAACCAACTCCGCTTTCTAGTCCCTTGAGCTGACAGTGCAAATACTTTTTATAATAATGGCTATTGCCATCTCTATATTACAGACGTTCCTGTGACATCTATAATGACAGTTCATCACTGGGCCTGTTATGATAGGAGCCGGAGCCATGACAACTGTTTGCATTTTCATTTTGATTTATGTTGTACAAAGAATTCAGCCATTTTGAACAACTATGCTCTTGATTTATTCCCAAGGGAGCCAAAACATTTATGGTGTGCTATTGTAAAACTATATCTCAATAACGCCACTGCCTTTCTGTGAAACTGCCGCCACCTGTTATGTCTTTGTTTTATTGTTATAACCACCTTTCTTTAAATACTTTTCCCTGTCACAGTGCCAAAAATACAAACCACATTAACTAATTTACCCGTAATAAACAGAAAGTAATACATTGTCAAATTTATTGCTGCCTGTGTAAAACATTTACAGAACACTGTGTTAAAGAAACAGTTTGTTAATACCTCAAAGAATGACCTCATTGTTGCATACATTACCAAAGCAACTAGTTCCCTTTACACACTTCTCCCACCCCGGCAGCATTTTCAAAACCATCAAGAGTTGAAGTTAAATACCTGATGTCTTATTACATAGAAAGTGACATTGTATTAAAAGTAATTGGTGTTTCAGTTTGTCTCCTGGATCTGTTTTCGTTTCTAGTCAGTGACAGTGGTTCAGCTGTGGTGTTTTATACTCTGATCTATTTGCTTAACACACAGTCGGTGATGTCGTCTCTTCTCTATTCATTTCCAAAGTTAAGAAGCACAATCGACAAGCCCCCAGCCTGCAAAGCGACACGTGATGTTTGATCCTGTGAAATTTCATGTTTGTACACGTTAACATGACAACAGCAGTATGCAGATACAGTGCATCTGGAAAGTATTCACAGCGCTTCACTTTTTCCAAATTTTGTTATGTTAGCCATATTCCAGAATGGATAAAATGAAAATGAAAAGAGTTTTTTTTTTTTTTTTTTTTATCCAAATCTAATCTACAGCAAATTTAATTAAAAAAAAAAAACTAAACTAAAGGACATGTACATAAGTATCCACAGCCTTTGCCATGACACTCAAAAAAACCTAAAAACGTAGTGGGGATGTTTTTCAGCAGCAGGAACTAGGAATCTAGTCAGGATCAACGGAAAGATGAATACAGCAATATACAGAGACATCCTTGATGAAAACCTGCGCTAGGGTGCTCTTGGCCTCAGCTTGGGGTGAAGGTTCATCTTCCAACAGGACAATGACCCTAAGAAACACAGCCAAGATAACAAAGGAGTAGCTACAGAACAACTTTGTGAATGTCCTTGAGTGGCCCAGCCAGAGCCTCTTACTCTAAAAGACTTGAATGGAATTTGTGCCAAAGGTGCTTCAACAAAGTATTGAGCAAAGGCTGTGAATACTCATGTACACCCCTCACATTTTTGTAAATATTTGATTACATCTTTTCATGTGCCAACACTGAAGAAATAACACTTTGCTACAATGTAAAGTAGTGAGTGTACAGCTTGTATAACAGAGCGCTCTGAATACTTTCAGAGGCACTGTACCTCACCGTCTACAGACCAATGAGATACCTACAGTATATATCGCTGTGTCACTGACTGTTTTCACAATTTCAAAAAAAATTCTGGCCATGTCAGTAATCAAGTTCTTTTTTTTTTTTTTTTTTTTTTTTTTTTTTAAATGTCATCAGAGACGTTTAGGAGATGCTGCAAAAAAGGCCATGAGTAAGCTGCAAGTACGCACCATTAAGAAAGGAGACAAGGTAAATGATGTTCCCCTCACTGCAAACAGTACATTTCACTTTAACTGTGTGTGTGTGTGTGTGTGTGTGTGTGTGTGTGCGTGTGTGGTTGTCTATGTTTTATTTGGTATATAGATATTTGTTGGTCTGTCATTTTGTGTCTTTTTAATTTCTGTGTTCTGTGTTTCAGGAGACTGAGTCAGACTTTGACAACTGTGCAGTTTGCATTGAAGGTTATAAGCCTAATGATGTCGTAAGGATATTACCATGCAGGTAATGTTTGTGCGCTAGGCTTGGACGGTATCACAGTATTGGAGTATACCAGAGTATTTAGAAATCCTTACAGTATGACTTTCAATACTGTCAAAAATACTGACACTCCTCTTTATATTAAACTGATACGGAGATGCTGTATTGAGTGACGTTGTGTTAAACTGCCTGACATCAAGTTTTGATCTTTGCTGTACATACTATAACAAGCGTCTGTATTTGTTGTTTACATGAACGTAAAAAGTAAACACATGCACCATGGCTACGATATCTACACATTTCACTGTGCACTGCATTGTAGCTGTCGTTTGTTTTCAAATTAATAATTTCTGCACTGGCTTCTTGTTTGGTCAGACATGTCTTCCATAAGCACTGTGTAGACCCATGGTTACAAGACCACCGGACGTGTCCCATGTGTAAAATGAACATCCTTAAAGCTTTGGGAATCCTAGTAAGGTCCTTTTTGATTTATTGTGGTCATTTTTGCCTCATACATGCATATAGAAAAAGTAAAATTCACTGCTCTCATTTCTCATCAAGACTAAAGTAACTCTGAAGTGCAAAACATTAAAGCGACGAATACTTGTAAAGACATTTTTTTACATTTTACAGCTGAACCCCGACTGTTCAGACGACATTCCTCCAGACTACGAGACATCTGTCGGAGGTCCACCCACAAACCCCATCAGTGGGGCTAGTGAAATCACAGTTAACGAAAGTTCGGTGGTTCTGGATCCAGCCGGAAGAGTGATTGACCTACAGCAGTTCCATCCTAATGCAGAGACAGACCCTCCGGCAGGGAATGAGAGCCGCATCATCGCCAGCAGTGAGTACAGACATCACACATTTTTAACAGAGTGAACTGACAGTCAGTGAAAAAGGGATGTTAACATAAAACTAAGATGGATTAATGCAGATAAAGTTATGACCAACTGCTCTTCAGTGTCTCTCTGTTCATTTATTTGTGTCTCCATTATTAAATCCACAGCCTTTGACTGTTGCCTGATTTTGGTGTCCTGTGCTTGAAAATAGTTTGGGACAATTCTGCAGAAAGAAACAGATGAGACAAGATTTTTTGTCCCCCATCTCCCAGCTTTCTAACAGTATGCTGATTCTGGTTTTATACCCCTTTCTTCAGTCTTATCATTTGAGGATTGAATAGTTTATGAGGTCGAAAGCAGGCCACCAGCCACCTGGTCAATATTCCCTGGTTCAGATCCTCCTGGGTAATACAGGAGGGTAAGAATAGCATTCCCTTCCCAGAAACTCTCAACCTAACCCACATACCCTCAAATACTTGTTATGTTAAAGTGTGTTGTACACACAGGATTTTTATATTTTTATTTTTTTAGAGAACAGAAAAAGAGTAGTTGTAACATTTGGGCTCACAAGCATTTGGGCTTGGAAGAAGAAAAAGCTCTCACTTTTACGCCAAATCTGTAAATCCATGAAAAGTCAAATTCAGGCCATTTGTGGATCGTAACCAAGTCTGGTCTGTTTATTAATTAAGCTTGATGTAAACCTAGTGGTTTTATTGTTGTTCCGGCTGTTTTTTGATCACTCAGATGCACACTGTAGGGTTTATATTCAAACTCTGCTTGAAGACCTGGAAAGAGCAGGGTGGAACGATAAAGAACAGATCAATAAAGAGTAAACTGTGCCAAAGTCCTGCTGCTCAGCACGGCAGACCGGCTCCAACACTTTCTGCTTACTGGCACAAACAGTATCCATACTTACAGGGCCTGATTTACTAAAGGTTTGCGTGAGTAAAAACGTGTGCAAACTGGATATCACCAGCAAATTAACACCTGGGCTGATGTACTAATGGTGTGCACGCAGAATGAAGTCTTTCAAAAGTGCAAGATAGCGCCTGTTGTTCATTTAGTACTTTTGCCTTAATGAATATACAGTTTGGGGCTTTTCAATTTTATTGTGCAAATTAGTGGGAGGGTAACATGCAAATACATTTATTTACTACACGCAGTGTGATCTACCAAGGCTAAACGCAATTTCATGTGAGTGCAACACATTTATATTTAATACGTTTGAGAGGAAGGTGCAAACCGCCAAGTGTTGCGCAGAGATGGCTTCTGTTATTGTTGCCAGAAGGAGACACAGCCATAATGAAAGAAAACGTAGAGAAAATAACAATATTAGATAATATTATTCTATATCCAATGTATTGAAATAAAATTATTTTATTTATTCGGCGAAGTATATGAATTGAATTGTTTTTTATTGTATTTTCCTTTAGCTTTGGCAATACTCTTGTATGACCATTCATGCCAATAAAGCAAATTTCGTTTCGACCTGATTTATTTTCTCCATGAGATGGAAGAATTTAGAAAGTTGTGTAGCGCTGTGGAGAGCCCCCAGCTGCAGTGAATGAATCACGCGTAAAATTCATCCAGCCAGAGGGAACGATCACCAACTGTTCATAGCGTGCCGGTCGTAATATAGCGACACAACCAATTGTAGGTATCGGAGAGGGGGTGGAGTGTACAGGGCCAGTTACAGGAGATCACGGAGTGACCGGGCACGGCGCGAACGGTCAGTGATTGTTCCCTCTGGCTGGATTGAAGCATGATCTGCTGGCATTTCCTCGCGTCTGGGTCATTCCAGCATACTGTAGCTGTTTCTGCTGGGGTTTCCCAAAGCAGTTTTTCCAGGTGTTCTGTCCCAAGTACTTAGTGCAATCTCAGGCAGGATGGGCAATACGATTTCCACATACTCGGGACGCACTGAACGAAACGAACGAAGATTTTTACGCAGTGGCTGCTTTCCCTCCCGACTCTCCATGGCGGAAACCATTAAAACGCACAAAACCCTCATTTAAATACTGCCACCTCCATTGTGTTTGCTCCTGTTGTCATCTACGCAATAATTCTTAGTAAATCACCCATAACAGGTACTAAAATTGCACAATATTTTAGAATGCACACGCAATTTAGTAGGATGTTAGTAAATCGGACCCACAGTGTATTGTCCAGTCATTCTTAATGTCACGTAAAATTGCACATTAAAGAAAACTTTCCAGAATTGATGGTATGATGAAAGAGGTTCAAAATGTCAGTTCTCTCAATCCCAAATTGATGATTTGAGAGAGATGGAGAAGAATGTTGGGGTCATATTAATCACAACTGCAGTCTCTGTCCTCTCAGTGAATGAACTCTGAAAGCAAATATATCCTAAATGAATAATTTTTTTTTTTAAATAAAAAAGTCGACAAAACAATGTAATTATTGACGGGTTGATGCAGGACAATGCCTGTGAGTCTTGGTTTGATACTGAACAGACTGTTAAACTGAAAATTGATCCAAAGTCTACTGAAATTGAAAGAGCCCACCGCACTGGAAATGTAGACAAAATGTAGTGGAAAGGTACAAAGACACAGAACTCCTTCTTGCCAAGGTGAGAGCTCACTTCAAGAACACTACAATTTATATAAATGAGGACTTTGCTGAATTGCTAAGGAAGAAGAGAGCAGACCTCATTCCAGGAATGAAATAAGCCAGGGAACGAGGAAATTATGCTGTCATTAACTTTGACAGACTGCTAGTTAAACACCGAAAGCTTCAGCAGATGACAGAAACCACAAAGCATGAGTGAAGGCAGGACACCAATACATATGGTGACTATTTTTAACATCTTTAGCAAATACCATGACGTTATCTTCACCCAACTAATGTGACACTATTTACCAAAACATTGCTACACCCTCTCTGGCTTATTACGTGCAAACGCTGCCCTGTATGATCAAAGAAATGGACCTTTTAATAGACTCCATTTAATCTTGCCCAATTAAATATTATAGAATTAACTAAACATAAAAGTTACATACAATAAATTGTATCCCCAATAAAAAAAATAAATATAAGCAGATTCCTAATTTTAGGTTGATGAATGAAGTGTTACATATATATTACATGGGTTTAGAAAGAAACAGTCAACATGTATGCCGCTTACAAATTGAATTAATGAAATATTCAGTGGATAGAAAGGAAAGCACAATAAGTATCTTTTATTTTATTGGACTTATCCAAGGCCAAGGACACGGCTTTGGTTCAGCTGTAAATGTTCCCCTTACCAACATAGCAACATGGACTAGAGCAAGAGTTTCAGAGTAATTAAAAATATAATCTGAAACAAATGTATCTTTCATCCATAAAGTTCTAACTGAGCTCTGTCTCTACATCACAGTAACAACTTTATGTCCACTGACTGCCTGGAGGGTAGCTAGTGTATGGAAGGGAGTAGAGAGGTGTGTGCTGCAGCTCAGTGTTTTTCCACCGTATGTTTTTGAGGGCGTGTCAGACTAGCCGCTTGGCAAGCAGTGTGACCCGCATTTTGCTTTCATCCTTGTGTCGTCACAGGGATGAAAGGGACTACAAACAAACTGTTTTCAGGCAGAGTTTTCTGTGGGAGATGGGAACTCCATTTGGGCTGGACTTCGAGCTTTTTACTATTACAAACCTATACATGCACAAAAAAGATATATAACACAATAAAGGAGAGGGGAAAAGCCAAAAAGCATAATATGACCTTTTTTCTTTTTCTTTTTTTTTTTAAAACTAGGTCATCTTTTTTGGTTTAAATCAGGGATAACATCCCCTTAACTAATGTGCATTCTACACGATTCCTTGGCTTTCAGCGTGATGAATTATTATCTTGGAAACCTCATATCAGGGCCATAACCACAATAGAGTATTGCTATAGAAGGCAAAACCCGTCACTTAATCAATACTGAGGTAGCAATCATGCTGATGTTACTGAACAATTAATTATTGTAATATTGCTTGGTCTGGTACCCAGTAGACCAAGCTTAAGCTCATAAACCATATTCAGAAACAAAAATGATTTGTATACATCAAAAACATTCCTCTCAGCCTCCCCAGTGTTCCCCAGTGTTTATCAATTGAACCATCTGCAGATTTTTTTATTTGTTCATAATTCCTTAAAAAGAACTCTTCGCCCCTTCATTTCATTACAACGATCAATTTCATACTTATTCTCACGTAGCATAATTTGCATAATTCCAAATCTCAAAAGTAAAATAATATAATGAATATCACATGGTTGTTTTTTTTTCTCCTTTTATCTTATGACATATTTTCTCTAAGGCATGTCACATGAATGTATGCTCTGTGTATGCAATGTATACAGATTGTGTAGACTAGATTGCTGTAACTTTTTTTTTTTCCTATAATATGCTGCCCAGAGAATTCCACTTTTCAAACACAGGGAGAGTTTTTGGGAAATTCTTCTTCACATTCCCTTGCCATTCTTGTATCATTTTTAAAAAAAAAAAAAAAAAAAAAAGAAGAAAGAAATAATATGTAGTAAATAAAAAAACAAAACTGTTTTCCTACCTTTTGTTTTTGCTGTCATGGTTGTACAGTATCACCTGAAGCCCTTTTTAGTCAGTTCTGTGGATTAGTATAACTGGTCATCTGTAGTTGTGTTAGTCACATAGTGTTAGTCACAAGTGTTAATAGGAGGAGATTTGAGCATACCGTGTTTTGAAAGATGATCAGGTTTGCTATTTTCTATTGAAAATGGAGATTCATCTTGTTTAGCCATATATGGCTAAAGATGAAACGTATTTTGTAAAAACAATTTTGATAGTCTTTATGAAGAAACCAGAAACATAAGACCATCACCCTGATAGTTAAAAACGTTTGGGGAATAATGCTAGTTATATTGGAGAAGAGTTATGTGACGTGTTTAGTTTTGATGGACTTGAAGTACCTGTTCCATCAGCTTTCTAACCTAAAGTAATAAATTGAGCTGCAATGATAAGACAATTAATTGACGAGTTGTTTGAAAGTTCAGTTCAATATGAAAATGTGCAAATTTTCTTTATCTTATTGTTTTTTATGATTTTGAGATTTTCGACTGTTATTGCATTTTGAAGAAATCACTTTGTCTTTTAACAATGAAAGTTTTAGCTACAATGTTATGTTCATGTTAATGTTGTGCTCCATTTTGCTTCCAGAGCACAGGAATGGATGAATGAATGTTATGCGACGGCACTAATTGGAGGCAAACATAAATCTAGTATTTATTCAGCTAAATACTGAAGATTAAAAAAATACATCATTGTGATATAGTACTTTACAATTTGCCTTAAAGGGACTCTTCTTCAAGGCACTCAGAAGAATCTGCAAGCACAAAGAGTTATGTTTACTTTTGTGTGCTTGACAAGCAGTAGATCAGCTCAGCACAAGCGGGTTTTCTCCTCGAGACTAATTAGTTTGTAAATTGGATGTAATTTGTCGTATGTCACAGCGATATTGAGCTAACGGAGACAATATCACCGACAGACAGTTAGCATGAGATGAACAAGCCGATGAACAAGCCTGTCAGGATTTCTGTTGCTGTGGTTGACAGTGATAGAGGACCGATTGTGTTGCATCTTTAGCCTGAATAATGAGGGCTGTCTTTAATGGTATTGCAGCTATCATTCTTTCCAGAGTCAGCCATTTACTGGGTGTGTACTGCAATCAGGGTCCCAGAAAAGTACCTGATTTGTTGCTGGAATGTGGGACTTGCTTGTTGCTGTTTTATAGTTTTGGGGGGGGGGGGGGTTATGTAAGCAAAATTCGTTTAAAGCTAATATTAGGCTGCAGCAGTCTGAAGCTGTCCGTAAAATTAAAGGAAACTCATCAACGTGTTAGACCATTTCTTCCTCATCCATCCAATTCTGTGAAAATTCTAAGGTGGATTTCCTGAAAATCAGCAAAAGAAAATGCAAATGGATGTGTTTCTATCCACTGTTTTGTGAATATTTAGCCCACTCTCATCAATCTGCTTACAAATACAAATAACACGACTTTAGATTTTTAAATTGCGCGCAGTGCATACACCAAAGTTCAATACACGTTACGTAAGTTACTGTTTTCCAACACATAAGCAAGTAGTTTTGTTTCCTAAATTGGGTCAAAGCACAAACAAATGAAAACAATGTAGAAAACATGATGGAAATATGGTATTTGTTTCATGTATTAATTTGAGGAACGTTACTGTCTCATCAGTCCACATGGACTCATGATCATGACTAAAGTCTGTTTCCATTGCACTTTATCGCAACTTTTCCACCTCCGTCACAAACAGGTGGATGGAAACACAAATACTGAGAGAGGTGAGACGCGATAATGGTTCAGATGGGGATAAAGGTAAAATATCAGTGTTTTCTTGAGAACTTGTTTCGGCTGCCCCCAAGTGGCCAAAAAAGTTAGTGAATGTTAAATGACGATGACGTATAAACCCAAAGAACTCCACCTCAACATCTTGACTATAGAATATTGTCCATGCTCAGAGATTGGTATATATGCATCCTGCAGTGGCCTGTCAAGCAATAATTTACCTCCCTCTCTCCCCGCTCAGGTGAGCACCAGCCTCCGCTGAGCAGTGATTCAGACACTTCTATCATCATGGGCATGGAGGTAGGCATATCTGAAGTGGACCTGTCCACGGAGCAGGAATGTGAGGGGGCGAAATCCTGAGCCAGTCGAAGCTCAGAAAAAAAAAACAAGAATCACCAGGAAAAGGAGGACAAGAGCAGGACCGGGTGATCGGGGCCCCCCAGCGATTCGCCTCGTCTTTGGCCCCTGGAGGAAGTGACTTCCCAGAAGATGGGAAAATGAGCAATACAACATAGCAGCACAAAAACACACAGTTCCGTATTTACTGTGTCTGTGGACATGTTGCTTGCTCGTTTTCTAGCAGTCACACCTCACATCATTTTATTGGTTTGACTGCCATGGTGACCAGACAGCCAATCTCACATTGTTCTCACATTGTGGTGGCCCAGTTTTAGTCCACATAATGTTTTCACACCCATAAATCTGGCATCTGAAATACACATACAATAACTGCTGAGATGTTGTAGCCCTCCACAGTGCTGAGAAGGCAAAATTAGTTTCTCCTCACTCTGGCAACCTAAACCTACTGCTGGACACAATGTAAGCACAGGAGCAGCAGGGCTGACATGATTAAAAAAAAAAATGTGCAGATTATTTTATTGCCTGGTAAGAGATCACTGCCAACATTTTCCAGAAGTAATTTTACTGATGTGATAGAGACATAGCACTTATCAGCAGTGTTGGGCAGTAACGTGTTACTGTAATATTACTTTTCCCAGTAACTAGTAGTGTAACTAATTACCTTTCAAAAAAGTAATATTTTTACTAGTTACTAAGGCAATTTAAGCTGCGTTACTCGTTACTGAAGGCACCATCCTTGACGTGATTCCACGACTGTGCGGCAGCTCAGCGGCACCGGACTTTGTTGTTCATGTCCGCTGATAGCCAAACACTAAAGGAAGAAAGTTGAAAGAGGGAGAGAGGCTTTCTGTCCACAGCTGTAAGTAGCTACTGCCATTATTGTGTCACAGTCGGATGCAAAGAACATTGTCGTCTAGTATAAACCAGCAAAAAGCTTTCAACCGCGAACATTTCTACATCTGATTTATTGATGCGTCTGCTAAAGATGCACAGCGACGTGAAACTTACAGAAAGAAACTCCGGCAGGAGCTGTCACTGATGCTTGGACTCGTCGGGAGAGAGGGGCTTTCATGTAGCGTTTTGTAACTACTGAAAACAGCTGTTTAAAAGTCGGGATTTACTTGCTTTTTTTTTTTATTTCAGCCGCTTGTGTTAACAAATATTAATCCTAGTCGGGAGAGACTGCTTTGGGGGTGAAGGGGTGGTAGTAAAAGTAGTGTTTCCCATTATTAGCCTATAATTTGGATAATTATCAACACTGACCGCCACGTATTGATTTTCAATTTTTTTTTACTAGGCTAGTTTAAAATCATATTGAGGAGCATATATTCGTGCAGCACCTCCTAGCTCGCTCTGTCTCTCTCTCTCTCTCTCTCTCGTGAACACCACTGCACAAACCTGTCTAAAGTTAGAAACCCCCCCTCGCTGTCATTCTGTGGGAAACACTGAAAAGTAACGTAGTAACGTAACTAGTTACTTTTATCACCCAGTAATAAGTAAAGTAATATTACTTTTTAAAGGAGTAGGCTAATAAGTAACTAGTAATTTATAATTTCTGAGTAACTTGCCCAACACTGCTTTTCAACAATTTCTTCCAACTGTTGGTGTGAATTCCCACCAGCAATGTTTCTTCTTTAGACTTGAATACATGTTATTATCCCTTGAAAACTTGAAGTGTAGGTCTTTAAGTTCATGTTTGGAATATGTATACACAAATTATTCTGTAATTTCTAAATTTCTAAATGTAATGGTTTCTGTTACTATTTTGTGAGACCTTCATTTATAGCTTCTATTTTATCAACTGAATATTCTTGTTGTTGAGATGAAATAACCAAACACAAGGTAGATATTTCTGTCCTCACATTTGACAATCATAGCTTGCCACATGCAGTTTGAAGTGATGTCACCCACTGCCCTTACTGAAACTGCTGCTGATTTACAAGTTATCCCAACACACGACAGCGGTGGTCTTTCGCTGCTGTCTTTTAGGAGGTGAAATGTTCACGCTGCTGCTACAGCTGGCAAAGCAGTTGTCCCTACCAAATCCTGGCAGTTGGCACATATTGTAGACAAAAGTCCTACACATGCCAAGCCAGTCAATACAAATATGTCAACAAGTCTTTGTGCCAAGATTATCAGAAATATTTTAAACGTTGTAGTTGTTTTTCATGCACACTGATTCTCTTGGCTGTCAGACTTGAATGGCTCTAAAGACATAGAATCGGAGGGCTTACGTCAGTTGAAAGAGGGACTGCTTTGGTGGAAAAGGAAGGAGCTTTGATTTGCCTGACAAACAAGATGCATTTGAAATAGTCAGGATTTTCATTTGAGGAATTTTCGATGCTCCAAGCATGGGATTTTTTTATGGCATGAAAAGCTTAAAGCATGAAAATGTTGTGGAATAATTGAGAAGTTTTTTTTGGATTCTGTCCACACTAAGCTGGAAAATGACATGCAGCCCAGCATTTTCTGGGTTTGGGAAAGATCTTCACACAAAAAGCCCAGGAATAAAGAAGTTACCAAACTGGTTTTCTAATAGCTTTCAGCTGTAAATTGAATGTAGAAATTGTAATGTTTAGTTGAGCTGCAAATTAGTTATTTTGGAAATTGTTTGAGTCAAAGTGAAAAGCATCTCACTTTGATCATTAGCATATTATTTAGAGACCTTTTTAATTCAATAATAAGTCGTCAAGCTTTTATCTGCATCAGTCGCAAAGAACAGAAACTCAAGTTTTTGGGAGAGGGAAAAACACCAGCTTAGTGTGAATGGAGGGCTATTACAAAGATGTATTTTTAAAATGTAGCTGGCTTAGTGTGGATGTTGTCTTAGTTTCCCATGGTGATGTTGACTGACAATTCACATTCGTCCTCTCTTACAGTTTGTAGTAGAATTCAGCCTTCTACTTTTGTCTTTGTTGTTCTGTTGTAGTCCAGTCAGTCCCCTCCACAGTACTTTTCACCAGGCTAATGAAGTATTGAACAAGAGCAGTAGGATCTTAGACTCGATTGGATCCGTTTCCTCTCACATTCCTGTAGACTTGCACACTGATGAAGCACAGACTCACTGACTGAGTTGATGGAGCCAGTGGAATTAAACTGGAGGTTTTTCCACTTCCAGTCACTGTTTCCATTATGTCCTGGAGCCACCTAGAACTCTGTTATATAAAACGCACATGTGCTCACTCCCTTTTTTTGGGTCAATCATTGAAGGATCATCAAATGTAGGGGCAAATGTGTCAGTGTTTCATGAAAGTGTTGGTTTTAGGAGAGGCAAGTAGTAATTCTTTTTTTCTTTAAGCCTTTTGTGAGACTGTATGTTTTTCTTGATATCCAAGAACATCACTTTCTATATGATACTAGTAGAGTATTTTGGTTCTGACAGCAGTGTTTCTCTATGAAATTCTGCCTCAAGATGGGAAAAGGCTTGACAGTTTTCACATTACCTCACTTTAGATTCAACACATAGTGACCAGTTCTACATGTAACCTACTATTTCAACGTGACTGAAATGTGTTGTAGCATTATGGAAGCACTAATGAATGTACATTTTCATACACTGTCTTTTAGACATTAGGGTGCCAATAGTCTGCCTGACTTACCTGTAGTTATTCATCTTTTGTGCTGTGAATGTGGAGGATGATTCATGCCAGCACATCATAGATATAGACGTTTCAGTCGCAACCAGCCTAATCTGAACCTTTAAGCCTCCTGCATGTTCCATCACCTCACATGGATAACGAGACAGCACAATACATAAGATAACCCAGAAACACACAACAACATCATCAGCATCTGTTGATCTCCTTGTCTTTCTTGCTTGTTCCTGCCGGCCCATGCTTTAAATTAATAAGTCTTTCTGTCTTCTTGACTCCTTCTCACATTCACACACAAACATAACACTTTGTCTCCATCTGACCATTTGTTGTTTGGTCAGTGTAGCAACAAGATAAAGCAAAGCACATCCATCTTCAGTGCCGGATCACTTGATTCTGGCTGTACTGCCAGTTTGTCCAAAGTTGGATTAAGGCCTTCTTTTTACATGGCAACGTAAAATTTGTGTGACTAAGCTATAAGGGCGTCTCTCAGTTTTGTTTGTTTACAGTGTTTCAAAACCAACTCTGTTATAGGAATAAATAGAATGTACTTATGGAGTAAGTAAAGATTGTTGTCCCTCATTGTACCGGCAACATAGCTTAACACTTTATTTCATGTGTCTATAATTTCTTAAACATTAAAAACAGGTTTCCTGGAAAACACAAAGCTAAATTTAAACAAAAGATTCATTCTTTATATTGTTTGAAACTTTATTCTCTGTATTTGTTTATCTGGCAGTCCCTGGACAGATGTAAAAAATGGCATAAAACATGTCTTATAAAATTCATATGCACAAACCAATGTATGACATATATTTAGCTACAATCCATACTAAATGGCTAAGAAAAAGAAACTTGCAAAGGCAGTTGAATTGTATGCTTGCCTGTTTCACGTTCAGCTGACCTGCTGTGCACTGACTGTCTCTCGGTTACACTAGCAATGAATTAATTAAACACTGGCTGTATTTTCCCTGTGATTAGCATAAAATAATGATGTTCTTTCAAGGAAATTCTCAGAAGGTATTCAAAAACTATTATGAAATTATTGACCTGTAAAATAAAGTGAGACCCAACATAGTTTTATTATATGTATTTAATGAAGCCTTTCATGTATTTCATTTTGTTGGCTTGTCAAGTGTTTTCTTCTGTTTGTGTAAACGTTCCTGTATTGCACTTTAACCCTCCAGTGAATGGGGAGTGGCTAAACTGAATGACTTGAGAAAGTATTTTTTTTTATGTACAGCTTTTGAGAAAGAGGGCTACAGTATTGAACATGGCACATGACCCAGTTGTTGCTCATTGCATAATGTTGTGATCTTTTATCTGTACTATTGTGTATGGGGGGGGGGGGGTATAAATATATTGTACACTATACCCAGCAGAAATAACAAGCATTGCTATTTTGTAATATAAAAGAAGAGTTATAAGATTGTATAAAAGAAAGCATTATAAGTATGATTAGCGGTTGCTCTGTCCTTTTTCTTGCCCCATGATGCATGTGTAGAAATGTCTGATTGTGACTGTTTTTTCAACTTTGATAAACTTGTTTGTTTTACATAAGCTCAATAAAAAGTATGTTTTGCTACTTAAAGAGTGGTAATGGACACTATGAGAGCATGTGATGTTTGAGTGTGACTGAGTCAAGGAAACCAGAATAAAGTAATTTATTAAAAAGAATATGTATAGATACCTCTGACAACATGCTGCTGCTACAAGAGAACTACCAAATACTGCTCTAATTTGACTTTGTCCCTTTGTGAAGATATCTGTTATATTACAACAAGCCAGTATGATCTATGCTTTTAGCCCTCTGTGAATAAACATCAAGGTTTATTTTAAGGTTCCCATGAGCACTGAAGGGTGTACTGAATTAAAAGAATGTAAAGTGTTTCCTGACAATCTAAAGACAGGTTTATGATGCAGTAAATGAACATGAGTCAGTTATGTTAATAGTATTATAAAAGACTGTCTCATAATCACAAGATAATACATCTTATGAGATTAAAAACACTTAATTGTGGGAAAAACTAAAAATGTGGTGGATTATTTTTAAATGGGTGGAAATGTGCTCTAGTTTAGGTTAGTAATGAATTACATACCACAGTATGTAGGAAGTGTTGGCCATAGTTTTGTTTAATATTGAAACATGATTTTATTCCATGTGGGGAGAGTCTTAAAATTAATGAATTATGCCTTTAGTGTAATGTAGTTCAATTGCATAACGGTATTTCTATTAAACAGAATTCCAGAAGCAGACGTTTTGTCAATGAGCTAACACGAGGTGGCGCCATCGACTCTTCACCTTTTGCCAATCCCTGTGGTAAACCCATGTGTTCCCAAAGTTTCCAAATAGCCTATGCCAAAAATGTGTACTGAATTTTCAGGAAGAAAATGTGTACCACATAAAAACCCTCCTCAAAACTTTATTTTTAACTCTTGGCTCTCTCCTAACTGATTGTACATTGTTGTATTTGTTTTATACTAATGATCATCTTTATTTTAACCCTACAAGTTAAACCATAAAGCACAACTAATTTGTTTTTTAAAAGGGCTTTATAAATGAAAGTTATTATTATTTAAACAATGTGTTTAGGTCTACCCCCACTTATATACAGTAAATGAGGTGGACAAAATGTTAGAAACACCTGTCAGTATAAAGCAATACATTACAACAGCACCACAAATGGAAGCCTCCAAAGTGATCATGAAATTGGATCAAAATCATGTTTATTGCACAAGTAGGTTTTCACATTTGTCTTGGCATATTGGTGAATAATAATAAACATAGTGAGTATAAAATATGAGGAAAGATGAAAGCAAGGACAGCAAGTCAGGAAGCATAAATTCAAAAACTGACAATACAATATGAAAAAGCAATATTTACAATATGGCATACAAATGAAAGAGCTGTAGTTGTATGTAGAAATGTGTGTAATATTGACCAGGGAATGTGCAAAACAACACGTCTCTTTCACCAAAAATTGTACATTATGACCTTCATCAATGTAAAATTTATTGCAGGACTGTTGTATGCAGTGGTGGAATCTAAGAACATTTACTGAAGTACTGCACTTAAGTACAAATATCAGGTACTTTTACTTTACTTGACTATTTTCATTTTATGCAACTTTATACTTCTACTCCAATACATCTCAGAGGCGTCTTCTGTTCTAGGCCTAGATGATGCTTTGCTGTGGATTAAACTACCCCAACAGTAGGTTATGGTTGGCCTATATAAAGTAGTTAAAATTAGCACAACCTTAAATAAATACAGCAGTAAAATGCAAAATACACATTAATGTACAAGTAATATCAATTCAACTTATAATACTAAAACACTGGCAGGGACCATTTTTCTACTTTTATTTAGATACTTGAAGTGAAATTTGCTGATAATACTTTTACTGACATAAGCCTGCAGTGGAGTATTTTCACAGTAAATAGCCCTAAGTAATTTTCTGAATGCTTGTTCCACCACTGGTATTAGACTGCATTAGTTTAACTCTACTTCGGGTGTCCCTGCCCCTGAACTGGGATTTGTAATGCGTTGTTTCATCGTATGGAGGTCAACAATAGGCCCAGTGGCATTTAAACAACCAAAAACCATAAAAGAAGGAAAAGAGGAAAAGAGGAGGCGGCAAGAAATCAGTGCACGAAGCCACCCCAGCAAGTTTGTTTGAAGTCTATGGAAATACTACTACAGGGTTATTCCCTGTTGGTCCCAAGGTCTACAGCGCACGATCGCGCAGCATAGGCGTGGTTTAATGACGTAGGGCAACGACAGAAACACCGTAATTCTGGTGGCTGCACTATGCTGCGCATACAAAAAGTCGCTTGCCGCAGTGTGTTTGTCTGACTCGGATCATCACTGTTTAACCAGCAATACGGTTACATCTCTGTCACGTGGTTTTAACGTCATTTTTGGGCCTACAATAACCTTCCATGTAGGCTTTGTTTGGCTTTACTGCTCAAACTCTGGCTAACCTCCTTGGGTAGAATGGGCCGTGGTGAGGAGCTCAGTGAATTTCAGCGGGGCACTGTGGTCGGATGCCACATGTGCAAGAAGTCAATCCGCGAGATTTCTGCTTTGTTAAACCTGCCGCGGTCCACCGTGAGCGCTGTGATTCTGAGGTGGAAACGTGGAGGAATAACGACGGCTCTGCCCCGGAGCGGCCGGCCGCACAAGCTCAAAGAGGAGGACCGTCAAGTGCTGGAGAAAGTAGCGCTGGAAAACTGTCTGCCCACGGTGGAAGCGCTCACCACTGAGTTTCAGAGTGCGTCCGGGGCCAACGTGAGCTGCAGGACTGTCCGCCGGGAGCTGAATGAGATGGGCTTCCGTGGCAGAGTGTCCTCGTACAAAAAACAAAGAGGTGAACTCAGGAAGGGTTGGGAATGAAAGGTTCAAGAGTCACATGCAAGTGTGTTAGGGTCCACATGCTTTTGGCAGCTACACGCCTCTGTGTGATTGAGATGCATCCTTATATGCAGTCTATGGATGCATCTCATTCCAAAACTGTCTGCACTCATATTGACACCCCTCTACCTCTATTTGCTTTTGATAAAAAGCTTTCCACAGGATTTTGGGACCTGGCTGCTGAGGTTTGCTCCCATTTCAGCCACAAGACTAGAGGATGGAGATCATTTTGTGTCAATATGTGTGAACAGCTGTTGAACAAAATGATCTCCATACTAGAGCATTGGTCGGGTTTGGAACTGGTCAATAGCACCGTACAAAAGCAAAACCTCAAACACAGCGCTACAAAGGCTGCTACCAAAATCTGAACCACCACCGCTCCCACTGATCCTAACTGATTTTGTAACCAAGCATTTGCTGACCATCCAGCTCCCTCATACTGACCAAACGCATCCATTATACTTTTTAATGCATCTATAACACTAGTGATATTATCAGAACTATCGGGGATCAAAGTATAACAACCGTCCCCCATCAAGTTCATAGCCACACACAAACCACCTTGTTCGGCTAAAATATAGTCGAGCCATGTCATGTTTCAACAATGTCTTTGAGTATTTGACAGAAAATTAAACCCTCGTATAGTTTCATTTGCAAAACCCTGCAAAGTATAAGTAATATTATCAATGTGATCTGCCAAAACACCATACCATGGAATAAGTCCAAGTCCCCACTTCTTGCCTAGACTTATCCGCCAATGGTAGGATTCAAGATTATGAATCCTAAAAATAAAATAAAAAGATTACTATTTCCAGAACCAGGATCAGAATGAGCTGTAGCAGGTGGTTCCCCTTTTTGGATTGTAAGCACCTCATATGGAAGTTTTAGCATCGCCATGTAACAACATCCTATCCATCCATAAGGTAAGAATATATATGCCTTATCACCACAAATCCACCAAATATCTTGAAAATTCCCTATAGTCACATTGCCAGGCAAAAGCTGATCTCTTGCCATCAAAGTCCTTCCCTTCTTACTAGATGGCACAGCAAAAGTTACTTCATATGTGTTTTCACTAACCTTACGGTCATGCTTATCCAAAGACATCATATAATCATCACACTCTGATATTCCCATAAGCATCCCTGGCCCATCATACGTCTTATTTGAACAAACACAGCTACTAGCCCTCACGGGTCTTACCTCCATTGCTTCAGGAATTAATGTTAACTTATTTTCCTTCTGATCTAACAAAATCACATAGGGTAATTCATTTATCCAAGAACAATTAAGTCTAGGTCTAAACAACTGCGACAGACATCACTATATCTGTTGATGATGCTGATACAACAGCCATGATAAAGCATAAGATTGACCCATAACGGATAGAGGTTGGGCCACCTTCTCTAAAATTGAATCCCATGTGCCTGGTGCCGGGACTTTCAACAGACATGGACCATCCAGTTTCTTAACTGATCTTACAGAATGAATTAACTGCTGGAACCATAAATTCCTACCTGCCCAGCCGTCTGTCATTTTCAAAACGGAAGAATCAAACCCATATGCCTTCCATGTAGCTTCTGTAACGAGCAATATTGATCAGTCATATCTTCTGGTGTTTTATCAAAAGTAAAGAACTGATTTTGTACATGTGGGATAATATTCTGAACGGTTTCAGATGACTCTTAATCATTCTCTTCTACCATTTGCTCCCCGAACTCCCTCTGTATCGTAGACTTCTGAGTTACGTCTACCATACCCTTTACTTCCCGAGAAGTTGTAGTTGGTGTCTGTGTCATATTTACAATGGTTGTTATCGCCATTGTAACATTCATTTCTTCCGAAGTTACTGCTAAAATAATTGCATTAATTAACGTATTAACTCTTTTAGTCATTACCAAGGGCAAAATGAACTGTTATGAGTCAAAAGCACAAGCACTGGACACTACACTGGTCTGATGCTTAGTCTGTATTTATTCTTTCGCCAAATCTTCTGTAACTACAGAATAGACCATCTGATTCATGTCTACACTGGCACGCGCATGCCCAGTGTACCTGTACGGGTCCTAGCTGTGCGTTTTCAGTCGTTTTAATGTAGACTGAGATCAACTCCAAAACGCAGCGGAAACACTGGTGTGGATGGAGATCGTATTCGTTTTAATTCTCAGTTTGTAAACTGAAACGGAGTAGTGTGGATGGGGCCTTGGACACAACACCTGTACTGGCTGGCTTCTGGTAACCTTTTCTTCTTTCTTTTAAGGCTACATCTGAATTTGTTTACATGATTCTTATAAAAGTGCTCTTTGATGTCAGGAGGGGAAGAAGCAGAGGCAGCCCCAAGTCAAGATGAAGCCAAAGTGGACGTGTCTCGTCTGGACCTGCGTGTTGGACGTATAATCACAGCTCTGCAGCTTCCAGACACCGACAGTCTTTATGTGGAGCAGGTTGATGTTGGAGAGGCTTCTCCCAGGACTGTGGTCAGCGAGCTAGCCAAGCACATACCTGTGGACCAGGTACAATATTACTCTTAAATAATGATTTGTCTTGTGGGATAGGAATAGGAAAAGGATAGGAATTTTTGGAATATCATGTGATTTTTTTTTTTAAATTATTATTATTTATTTATTTTATATATAATTTACTAGGATGACAACTAACATAATAATAAATCTATGGATTATTTTCTTAAATCATTGTTTTATCTGTAAATATTTAGAAAATGTTAAAAATGGCCGTAACAATTTCATTCAAACATCAATCGATTAATTGTTCTTAGATCATAAAATTAACTTAATTGGATAACTTACAGAAACTTCTCAATATGTATGTAGAGATTCATCCACATTTATGGATTTAAAATGTGTTTATTGGGTACAAAAATGAGAAGAGGAAGAAAAGATCTGCATTTCCACTTCCCTTATACTTGTTGGCATAGTAACGTCATATTGATCTCAGCTGAAGGGCAGTGAATGCAACATCAGGTTGCAAGGTTGTAGATTTTTGATGACCCCTCCAGACTTGTTTATGAGCCGGTTTTCGACCAAAGGTACCGGGACTTTCAAGTCCCCAGATCTCTTTTCAAGGAACTAAAAGGTTCCTTCAGCCCACTGTTGTGTGCGTTTCCACCATGGTCTAAAGACCTGCAAAGACTAGGCAAATGAACCAGCTGACGTAGGCTGTAGCCATACAAAGCGATGCACAGGCATCATTATTTGTAACCACTATCCATGAGCAACATTTATAAATGAACATAAGATCTGAGTGGAATATAATGGCGGGGGGGAGGGGTAAATCAGCTGGTTAAAAGCCCATCTGCTCCTTAACACTCATTGGAGAAATCCAGAACCTTTCAATATGCTAATATTTCTTGTTTTAAAAGCTTAAATACTGGACACAAGATGTCTCCTACTCATTGTCAGTGTATGTGAACTGAAGGTTTTATGCATCACACCTAGTCACACTGAACCACAATTTATATCACATGCTCGTACCTACAGGTACTAAACTTAGATTTACACCTTCAGATGAATGTGAAAACTGTCTCCTAGTGAAGGCACAGTGCACAGTGAAGCTCAAACATCTGGGTGAAGCAAAAATAAGCATAGCAAATTTTTGAGCGGAGGGTGACTTAAAAGTAACACCTGTCTGTAATTATTTGGATTAGGTAGACCAAATACATATTAGATTCTTATATTAGTTTTATACAGTTCTGCACAGATTGTATTTAGGAGGTGATTTTACTTGATCAGCTATGTATAATCCATTAATTGATAGCCGACTAGGGTATGGTTATGAGTTCATTTAAGCTGAAGTGACTTCATTACATTCTGTGTGATTGCTTTGCAAATTTTACATTTTATGTTGATTGTGGATATCTGTGTTTGCTTTGCTTTCATATGGATCTATGATTTGTTGCTGAGACAAACTAATTTGTATGCAGAATGTTAATCTCAATGATAAGCACCAGGTTACTTTAATGGTTGACATGGCCTAACATACGTGGACACCTGAACATTAAACGGATGTGTGATTGTTGAACATCTCTCTCCAAAATCAGGCTTTAATATTCTGTTGGAACTGACTGTACTTTTTGGGGACAGTCTTCCACAGCATTTAAGAAACCTGGTTGCAGGGATTTGCTCCCATTCAATCACAAGAGTATTTGTACTTCAAACCAGGTCAGGCACTGATTTGGGTCGACAAAGCCCTCGCTCGCAGTCGGCGTTCCAGTCCATCCCAAAGAGGTCCGATGGGACTGAGCTAAGTGCCCTGTGCTGGGATTTGTCATGAGGAAAGGGGCTGTTGCCTCAAAGTTTGAAGCACATGTATTTCCTAAAATGTATATTGTATGGTGAAGCAGCCTAAAAAAAAAATTGCAACCATAAAAAAACTGCCCTAAACCAAAGTGTGTGCACACATTCTTTTACAGTGTGTTATTTAAAGCAAAACATATGACTGTCTGACTCTGCCAAAAGCGGTAGAAATTGATGTAAATGTAATGCTCCGCATATTTGTATAGCGCCATTCTTGTCTTTTCGACCACTCAAAGCACTTTTACACTACATCTGCATTCACCATTCACTCACATTTATACACTGAGCCTAAGTGCTCAAACAGAAACTAACATTCATACGCTGGCGGAACAGCCGCCAGGGACAATTTGGGGTTCAGTATCTTGCCCAAGGACACTCTAGCCTGGAGGAGCCGGGGATTGAACCGCCGACGTCCGATTAACGGGCAATCCGTTCTACGTTCCGCCCAAATTGAAATAAAATATTTGGAACAGGCAAGGTTTCCATGCTCAGACATATCTTAGACATTAGCTTCTTAAAACTGTTGATGATAGCTCGGCATTATTAACCGTTTTCTGACAGCAGCTTAAATGACAAGCACAGTTTCTTGCTGCTGCTGCTGCTGCTTTTTGTCTGGTTAGTCCACATACTTTTGTGCACTTTTGGTCTGGGTTGTTTTTCCCTTTAGTTCATACAGCACACAATTGCATTTATCATTGCTAAATATATAGTGTAACATTAAGATTTCCTATTATACTTAACATAACATACATCATTCCATGAAATGCTGGATTTCTCTTCTTCAGAACTTTTGGCAGAAGCTGCCTCTGAACTTCTCTTAAATGTTGGTAAACTGCAGAGGTCTCCGGGATCAAAAGTGTGAAGTTTTCCTGTAAACCCAGTATCAGTTGGAGGCGTTTGTTTCTCCGCATTATTAATTTAGATGATTATAACATGTTTTCTATAGTCTTGGGCATATGGACTGTAAAAATGCATTTGACCTTCTGTTTCTTTTGTAGATGCAGAACCGCATGGTCGTTCTGCTTTGTAACATGAAGCCAGCCAAGATGGGAGGAGTGGTGTCCCAGGCTATGGTCATGTGTGCCAGCTCTCCGGACAAGGTCGAAGTCCTTGAACCTCCGAGTGGAGCAGTCCCAGGGGACAGAGTCACTTTCCAGGGCTTCCCAGGTACCATCACCCCACCAATGTACCCTCAAAAAGCCTGTTCAAATTATTTTCCTCAAAACGCCTCTGTCTTTAGGAAACAAATTATGTTGTTGAACCTTGTTGCTGCCAGAAAAGCAACAATGGTGATTTTGAACAGCTTCCAACTTTGTGGCAAAAGCTTCGGAAAAAAAAGGTCCTTTCCTGTTTGAACATGTGGACAAAGTGAGGTTCATTTAAAAAAATAAAATAAAATAATAAAACACTATGGGAGGATGTGGAACACTGATTGTGAACCAGGCTTTACTGCCAGACTTCACTGATCTCTTGTGGCTGAACCAGAGCAAATCCCTGCAGCCAGTTTACATAATGTTGCGGAAGCTGTTACTAGGAAGTTACGGCCCGTGGTTTTGCTGTTCTGAGTCGGTAATGAAAGGACATAGGACTGTACCCATACATTCTGCATTTGTGATGGATGAGTAGAGAACAAAGGAGGTTCTTCTAATGTATCAAACTGATTTCTTGATTGCAGGTGAACCAGACAAAGAGCTGAACCCCAAAAAGAAGGCGTGGGAGCAGGTTCAGCTAGACCTACGCACGGATGGACAGTGTGTTGCAACATACAAGGGAGCTGCCTTTGACATCGCCGGCAAGGGGGTGTGCAAAGCCCAGACCATGTGCAATACACAAATCAAGTAAACTAACCGAGCTGCTCGAAATAGCTCAGTGCAAATCCCTGGAGTCAGAATCCAAAATATTTTGGAAAGCCTCCCCGAAAGAGGGGAAGCAGCCCATGGTTTTGGAATGAGATGTCCTGTTATGTTTGAAGTGTTCGCATACTTTTGGACTGTAAACCAAGGACGGTAACAGTGAAGAGTATGTCGCCCTCTGTTGGACGGATCTGAACATTACTGTTACGTTTTTATTATGAAAATCTGAAGTTCTGTGTTTGGCCAAAGGAAGGCACTACAGTAACCATAATAACAAACGGTAGGTGTGTAAGTGAGACATACAGCACACAGTCATACCCAGCATGGCGAAAGAAAATTTATATTCTTTCAAAGAATCCCTTTTGGGTGGGGAATGTTTGACATTTTCCCATGATGCCACAGTGATTATTTCCACTGAACCGTGGATGAAACTCAAAAGGGCAGTCCCCAGTAAAAAGGGGGACACTAAACAGTTGTACTTTCTTTTGACAGTATTGATTGAGCTGGAAATGAGTAGGGAAATTACTTTCACATTACGTAGTTAACCTTATTAAATAATTATACATGTAAGGGCGGTTCTGTGTTGGGACAGTTCTCTGAGCTGCTTCAGTTAAAGTGTGATGCTGACAGATGATGGAAATTAGTCAGTGTGTTTTTGTATCAGTGTAAATAGTCTGTGCAATGTTTATTTGTTATTTATCTTACCTGTCACAGTATTATATCTGAGATCCAGACAATGTTCTATACAAAAATGCTAATTTTGTTTATCTTTAGTTTCCCTGGAAATTGAAAACTGCTACTAAATGTTTTGTATCCATCCTGCTATTGTAGATTGTTACTCACCTCTCCAGATATTGTAACAGCTTAGCTAAACCTTTTATATGTCCTAAAGCTTTTATGTCCAGTTTTGTGGACCATGTTAGTTTATCCTTCCATTTTTGATTTTTACATTTAATTAGCTGAAATAATCAAGTATACTGAACTGCTTCAGGTGCTACATTTGATTACTAATAACCCTACTTATCATTTGAAGGGTGAGAAAATAAACCAACATGTTTTGGTTTTAAAATAAACAGTCTGGTTTTTTTTCTCTAGTCCAAACCAAGTCCATAAAATTACCAAAAAGGAAAAGCACAATCACGCAAAGCTGCTCTTCCCTTATTTTAAAGGAAGAACTGAAAAAACTGCTTGTAAAGAATGGGGATGTGATTCAGAAACTAAGTAGAACAGCTTGTCCGACACATGATGATGCTGGTTATTGTTTGACAGAACAGGAGAGGTGACAGGGAATGCTGTCAACCTTTTGTACAAGAAATTCTATTTGTTGGCATATCAAAAACTAGAATATGTAGCTACAAATCTTTCACCAATGAAAATCCAGTTTAGAGGTTTCCCATAAAAAGGAGAATACATCAGACAGACCAAGGTGTTTTTCATCTCATGCTTCAGCGTGTTGACTAACACAACAGGCTGATATGAATAGAATCACCTTAATATTAAAAGGTCATGGAGAGTTGATATTAATATCATGTAACACCCCCTCCCCCATCCACCTCCCCCCATCCACCTATTGTACAGGCTACCTATGTACAAACCCATAGACGAAACCATACTTGAGTTTGTGGAGGTACTGTAATGGTGTTTCACTCATCTCTGCCCCTGCATCTGCAATAACAACTGTCGTGGAGGAGTCAGTCCTGCAAGTGTGCGGCCTGTCGACTCGGCGCGGTTTACCGGAGGGGAAAGTTTATAAACCACCACCTGAAAGACTCGTTTCGGTTGAGTTGAGTCAACCTATGAATAAAGTGCTCCGTGTCTTCCTACATCCTGTTTTTGACAGGCCTCAAAGTGCAGGAAACCCTACAAAACTCTCAGCTGTGTTACAATCTCATAGTGTTTGTATTGTATTTAGTAGTCATCCATGTTTCTTTGCTCCTAATCTTTCATATTTTCACTTTCCTAGTATGATAATACTACTAATGATATAACTATATGTTTTGCCAATATCCTTTATAAAACTATAAGCGAATATTTATTGTTGCAGTGCTCAGTAATGATGGGTGGTACAAGGCTGGACTCCAAAGGCCACAGACAACACTGTGTGGCGGTAACTTGGTTGAATTACACATTTGTTTTTTAATACACACCACTAAAGTACAATTGAGATAGTAAGAACTCTTAGGTGGTGGTCTCTATCATAATCGTGCTATTTTACTTGGCAAAATCAATATGTATAATGAATGGAGGTAGCCTACATAATTTTAAAATTAATAGAATTACAGTTTTTCTGAATTGCTAAAACACTAAACCCATTCTGTGAACCAAATGCTCAGTGGCCTAAACCCATTTGTCAAATCAATCACTTGGCAAAACCTTAAATAAGTTCAGGTAGTCGGAAACCATTTGCAAATCTCATCCACTCTTTTTGCAAAACTCTCCATTCTCATTCACTAAAATACATTTTGCACTTTGATGCACTTGTGTTGCAAAATGGTAAATATGGGCAGTAAAAGTTAAACACAACACAGCTTTCAGCGTTTACACACAACAACTCATCATTCTTCACACTTGTTTCTAATGGTGTGATCAAACCAATATGTGGTCAAGTCACTGGCCAGCGTAATGGCAATGTCACCATCATCATCATCATCACTTGGGGTCATATAACACTGAATATCATCTTACATTTCTGGGTGGTCTTTGGATGAATTGTCAGCAGACAGTGCATCCTGTTAATGTCGTGGTTTGGGACAATGTCAGCTTTCACAGTGGTGTCCAGATACGCGAGTGGTTCAACATCAACCAGCAATTCATAAATGTTTACATTCCACCATACAGCAGTTTCCTTCAACCCAATAGAAGAGCTTTTGTCTGCCTGGTGGTGGAAGGTCTATGACCGCAACCCATATATATACCTTCTTACAGGCTATGGAATTGACCTGTGGTGAGATAAGTGTGGAGTGCTGTTATAGCTGGGTCCAGAACACCAGAGGGTTTTTGCCATGTTACTTTGCAAGGGACAAGGCTGCATGTTGCATGATGTGGACAAAGTCCTGTGGTCGGACCAGGCACAAAGATGTAATGCTGAGGCAGAATGAATCTCTTTTTACATTTTTTAATGTAATGTGCTTTTCATTTTGAGTCTTCTTTGGGCTTAATGTATTTTTATGTAAGTGCTGACATTATATATATATATATATATATATATATATATATATATATATATATATAATACTGTATTACTTATATACTGAATATATTCAGTGTACTAAGTTGTGATTACTGTACTTTTTTTATTTGCAAAATGTGTTTCCTATACTAAAAATAAAATCATTTTCTGTAACTACATGCCATGAACGCTGTGTTCTCACTTGTTTGATGTAGTGTCTCATGAATGTTCTGTGTTCTGAAAGCTTTGTGATTTTGAACACAGTTTACATGGTTTTGAGGTGATTGCCTGATATGCCAGAAGAGTCTAGGGGATTTGTGCTTTAAAGATTAAGTTTTGTGTTTAAAGTTTTAAGAAAATAGGTGGGGGTTTCAAGAAATGTGTCTTAGCAAATGTGACAACCTGACGAATCAAGAAACTTCAATACATTTATGCAAAAATCCCCCCAAAATCTAATACAGTAGTGATGGACAACATCGTCTAATATACTACAGAGACACATTATCAAAGGGATACCTGCCATGGCATTAACGGTGGACTGCTGCTCACCACTACTCCACTGTCTGTGTGTGGGTCTGGTCAGGTTAAGACGCAGAGGACATGTTTATGTTCCGTGTTTCGCATCTTAGTTTCCAGCTGCCATGTTGACATACTTACAGTAGCCCACATCTCCATAACGTTGAGTGACAGAATGAAAACCATTTGGATAACTTGAGTATATTAATGTTATTTCCCCACGTGCCTCCACCTCCTGCTCTCTGACGTCGCGCGGTTGTCAGCCAGTGACGCGCACGCTTATTTATTTATTTTGCGTGTGGCAGCAGCGGAGGCGCTACAGCGGAGCAGCAGGAGCACAGGATCGCTGCGTTATCGGCGGATTCTGTGTTGAAGTGTCGTCTTTATGTTTCAGTACACGGGCGGGCATTGTAGACGGGAAGGCATACAGACTATTAGGTGTTCATTTTGATCGGCTGTAACGCGGTTTCCCTCTGCAAAACAACAGCGCAGACATCGACACCGACAGGATCGCACCTGCCACGGAGGAGCATGGACAACAAAGACTGATCCAGCACTGCGCTGTGCGGCAGCAAAACGAGCCAGGCTGCCTCCCCAACGTCAAAGAAATTAATTTATTTAAAAGCCTGTGCAGCACACAATACGCTGGTGGTGCAAGGGGAGGTTTGTGTACACGACATTTGTTGTTGGACTTCCATATTGTAGGCCGATCCCATCCGAATAGTGCCTGGCAGCTTTGCGCGTCTTACTTTCGCTCGGGCATCCAAGACTGGTCGATATTTGAAGGGTCGAGGAGGAGAATAGTGTCCAACAATAGCAGCCCTCCATCGGCGCTTTAATAATTTAATAATCCCTGCTAGAAATAATCACGCCTTCCGTTCGAACCAGTTTGATGATCGACATCAGAAAGCCTGTGTGTTCAATGTTACCTTAAAAAAACGGGAGAATTATGTGGGTCAGTCCCGAAGATGTGTTACTGGCGGGTGCATTATGGATCACCGAGAGAGCAAATCCATATTTCATCCTCCAGAAACGGAAGGGCCACGGGGAGGGAGGCGGAGGACTGGCAGGTGAGTCGTATTATTGTGGCCTTTTGTCATGGATCAATAGCAAAGACTGCCTATTTGTTATTTAAATTCAGAGATTATTGATGATGAAAAGTGGGCCACGATATGCCAGGTGGATTGATTGTGTTGTTGTCTGACATCAGGAAACACATGGACTGATAATGTGAGGGGTCACATGATCAATCAGCTGCCACAGGTGGCCTTTCACCTGACTATGTCTGTCAGCAAATAACATTTAAATACATGTGTTTACTAGTTTATGTATTCACCCTCTTGTCAGCCTGCTTTAATGAATGCTGATATCAAACATAACCAATGAAAGGACAAAGTCCAGCACATCTACTGTCTGATCATATTAATTCCTCCAGATAATAGGTTATATTATAGGTCATGAAAAGGATGGTGGGGCCTACTCCTGCCTGCATGGGAAATTAGCTTTCTACCATTACAAGAAGCACAATACAAGAACAATAGTTGTTGCTGTTCTTGTGCAACAGCTCAATAACAGTGAATCTATTTGACCGCCAACCATAGACATGGTCTGTTTGCTAGTCATGCTGAATCATTCCCCTTCTTCCTTCTCTCACTCCAACTCCTCCCTCTTGTTTATTTCATCCAAAATGGGTCAAGCAGCAGCATCAGGAGGAAGATGGTCAGGGTATGGAAATGACTGGCCGAGAATGACAGTTAAACAGCCTGCTGTCCTGTTGTTGTGTTTTTTTACTCAGACTGTTAAAATTGGGTTGATTCCTTGACCTGAATTCAGCTGGTTGCAGTTCATCACAATGTGTGGCACTTCCTCATGTTTAACAGATCAGATGCTTTTTAACAGATGATTACACATGTTTTGCTGTGTGAAACCTTAACAGTGTAAAAGAGTTATATCTGATACAGGCTAAGGCAGAAGGACATCAATGGGTGGCCTTAAATATGAGCTGCTAGGCACCTATAAACGCTTCATTCACCACAATGTGTATTTTATATTAAGGTCATAATACGGCCCCATATTAGCGATGTGGTTGCATGTTTAAACAAAACTACATTTAGGAATATGCGTCATGTAAGATCTGTATCAGTAAATAATGAAGGTCTTAATGGTAGATTTTTACACAGTGCCTGAAGATCAGGTAATTAAGCCGGACCCACTTCAAGGCCCTTATGTCACCAAAAAAAATTTGCAATGGGTTAAATGATCACAAAACATTTGTCACACAGAGAACCTGGGGCTTATCAGGGACTCTAGTGGTCCCAGATGTTGCCCCCTCGCCCAGCTGGTAATTCCCTCTTTAGTACAGCCAGTCAGGTTTGACATGGTGTTCTGTACATTCAGCCAAAAACCACAAATTACAGCTGTGTGAATTTGGATTATTTCAAGGCATCTTTTGCTTTTGATTCAAAACTGTGAAAAGTGAAAGACATGCTCTTATCACTGATTGATCAGCTCAGCTTCTGTTCCCTGCTGAGTATTTCTCATTCAGTGTCAGTCAGTGTCACTGCTCATTGAGCTGTCACACCGATAAGAGAAAATTTGCCACTTAGGACCAGTCTGACTAAGTAGTAGGTGAAAGAGATAAAAAAAAAATATGATGATAATGATGAAAAAATGTATGTAATGACATAGATGTACTGTATATCATGATATACCTCAGGTGTCCCCGACCTGTTTTTCTTGAGACCCCATAATATTGCTACTTGTGACCCCTCACCAACTTGCATGTTTTGTTGCAGAATATATTATATACATATTTTTTTATTATTTCTCACCTCTGTCATTATCTTGCGACCGGTGAAATTGATTTCACGTCCCCTTGTGGAGGTCCTGACCCTCAGGTTGGGAACCACTGATACCACAAAAGTCTTTTAAATCCAGTATTACTACAAAGCAATGCTGACCAGCTACAGCCAGAGATATTAAAGGGATACCATCCGGGGTATGAACAGTATTACATAATCTCTGTACATTTTCATATTTACCAACCCCAGTCTGACTAATAAAGGCTTAAACTAAACATTAAGGTTTTGTTAGGTTTCAGACTTAAACAAAATACATACAGCCAAGATAATACACTGGATACACATTTAGAATACATTATTTGTGATGTGGCCAAAAATGTTGTCACAATAAAAACTTTCCTGTCATTCGATATCGATAATTACCATGATAAATGTCAAATCCTTATTTCTTTAAAGTTTTAAAGGCTGTTTTTGCTCCTGAGTGAAAGTTGAAGAAAGCAGATGGTTAATTGCAGTTTTAAACTATTATTTATGGTCAG